AGGAAATTCTGTATTTGATTTTAGGTACACCTGATAAACAGTTATTAATGTTTTAATTGAACGAGACCATAATAGCCTTAATAATGCAATCAACAATGATGATTTAATTAGCCACAAGCCAGCTACTGCCTGCACTTTTGTGCAAATCATGACCACACACAGTATTAATAATCCTGTATGTTGCTTGCATGCTCATGAATGCAGTTTGGATGTTTCAAAATTCCAAAATTTTACCAGTTCATGTGAAATTTTGAATTCTGCTTATAAGCCAGTGCTAGGGGGCATAGGTAGCTTGCAATTACCACTACCGTCTATGAACAGGCTCAATCAAACTGAACCTGCATTTTAGCAACATTTTCAATTTTGCAGTCAGGGATTCTGTTCTTCTGTATTTTGGGCTTATGTCCTCCTTTGACTGTTTTAAATTCGAACAACAATTTGAAGCACCAAACTCTATTGCAGTCATCATTTTGATACTCAGTTCTCCCTCCAATTTACAAATTGGACCGTTCCAAATTAAAAGCAAGGAAAGTCCATTACACAGATTTAGCAGTGTATTACCATTAAAGGTTTAAGAATGTTTCATGATTAACTGGTACGATTTACAACATCTCATTTCTTACAACTTGATACCATTTTATTAGTATTAACTTTTATCAGATTTTGGAGCATTTTAGTACACTTAATGATGACATGTCGTAAAATATCATCAAATATTTACTTTGCCTCAATATTTCAAGTACAAATCTATGTCAAACCCAATGAAAAAATGTTAAAATGCACTCGAAATCTCTTGATGTAGGTAAGATTTCTACAAATATTCACATGTGTTCCAGATTAAGTGAATTCTTAGCACATATACATATATTTACAAGAGTTTATACTTCTTCTGTCTCTTTTATGTAAGTTTCATGTTGCCTCGAAACTTTCATTGCAAAAAAACAAAAAGTCATGGCCATGTGTACTGAACAGTAAGTTGAGAACCTCACTGCATGGATGTACAGGTTGGCCTGTATGGTCATGTCACCTACCCAGGCATGGACCTGTATGGTCACCTACTACATGGATGTACAGGTTGGACCACATGCTCATCATGTCATGACACCAGTCCTACTGTTGCGCGGCATGGTCATGACTTGCATGGATGTACAGGTTGACCTGCTCTATAGTACTAGTGGCATAAAGGCAAGCCCTTTTCGCATTTATTAAGTCTTGAACTAATTGAATTTGATGTAATAGATTTATATTAACTTCACAGCTTTATTAAGCTATAGGCCAACTCATAACAGCTCCGTGTATAATATTTCTTGCTCAGATTTGATAAAATGATGTCATTCAAGCAGGAGTATGATGTAATAAATATGAGTAATTGTTTTGCTGAAATTCATTTTTGTAAGAACAATGAATTTTAAAGAATCTTGTTAATAATATTGAGCTGTTTTATTTTCCAACATGGTCTCCTCAAAATAAAATTGTCAACTCAAGATCTACAATGACTCAGAATCTTTCCTCTACATTTCCACTTGGTATATCAAACAACTTTGAACAAATACCTGAATCATCAAAGAAAGGAAGTACTTGAAATAAAATTACATAATTTCAATAAAAGCTGTCCTGGTGTCAAGCTGATATTAGACATTTAGCAACAGCTATAGATACAAATAAGGCTAATCTAACATTTTTTCTTTTCTTTTTTTTTCATTTCAGTAGACTCGAAATTGACAATTTGTGAAGATGGGCACAAAAGATAAGTTTTATATATTGCAACTCAATTGATACAACTTGTTTAGATTTGAGAACTGCCTCAACATATCTAGATTAAAGGTGAATAATCAAAACTGTCAGAACATGTTTCCGAAAGGGTAAACATCTACAGATAACAATAGAAGACCCTTTTATTTTGGTAATAATGAGTGAAGGTGTTTATATTATATACTTCTTGTTGTCCTTGTTGTTGTTGTTGTAGTTTACTGTCCAGACTGGGGTTATATAATTCACTGATACTATCGGTCTTACAACTGTCAAAGGCAATTAGCAGGACAACTAACACACTTAACATCTCATTATCTTCATTTTTGACAACTTTCTGTCAATTTGGGGTAATTTGGTACAATTTATGACTCTTTGGGTTAATTCTTTACCACTAATTAGGCTCATTTACAGCAATTGGTATCGCACCCCCATCAAAGTTTTTATTGAATGGTTTTACCACACAAGTCCCCCAATAAAGATATTACACAGATATAGTTTAAAAAAGTTAATCGTTGAAATTTAAAGAAAATGCCTAATTATCTCCCTTTAAACATAATATTTAGAACATAATATATTGTGTCTTACAATATACACATATAAGTCAATTGGAGTCCATAAATGGTTTCATTTCCATGTGAGCAAAACTGAATTTTGCGAAAATGATTATACGTAATTAAGAAACTAACAGGTAAATTTATGTAATTTATGATTATAATGAATGCCACAGCAAAAGAACTAGATATAATTGTGGTAATATATTATAATTGTTTAACAATTTCTCATCAATAAAATAACAAAAAATACTTAAAATATTGAAGGTAATTATAATATTTCAGAGACATATTTTAATCAATATAACTATTAAAATGTTGAAAAAGAAAATGTCAAGCTTTTTTTTTGTTGATGTTTTTTTTTCTCCTCCAAAATATGTTACAAAAAAACATTTTTTTGACATGCCAGATCTTTATCTTTAGTATAATGACGATGTATACAATAAAAAGGGGTTAAAAAGAGTTAAACAGTAAGGTAGAACTTATCTCCGTGTCACAAATGATAAATTTGATCTAACTTGTGAATATGTCCATTACTGCTGTACTAATCATTTCTGTAGGTTTTTTCTCAACAAATATACAAAATACATTTATACTCGGACGCTTGTATAGGCCAGTGACAGCCTTAAGTCGACACAGGTGTTCGGCCATAATCTAATTTATACATTGAGGTTGAGGAAAATAGTGAACCAGTTTTTAAACTGGCCACTGTTTGCAGTTTTGTTTTCGATATAAATTTTCATTCATTGAAAAAAATTAAGAACTTGCAGGGAATTTCAACATGGACTTTAAATTACAGGCCATCCCCATTGGACAAAACTGTTGAAAATTCAAAATTTATCTTGAAAATTCACCAAAAAGTTTGTCAATGGGCTAGCTCAACAGTATATAGGCATTAGAGTTTATATACACACTATTTTAAGCTTTAGCATTTTATATAGCTATTAATTAATAATAATATCATTAAAATAAAATCTGCTTCATTTTAAATGATGAACAAAAAAACTTGGTGTTGAAATTGATAAACATATACAAATAAAAAATCTTTCAATAATTTTGATCAATTTTAATAAGGCAAAAACTCACTAATTTTTATTTTTTAAAGTGATAAACATGTGAAGTTTTCCTCGCATAATAAATAATGCAATTTTATAATTCATTCAAGTTCTTCAAATTGATAGTCACACTGATGTGATAAACATGCAAATATTTTGTTCCAATTAAGAAATATGATAAACAGATCTGATTTAAGTATTTTGTCAGATATTTACAATTCACTTAGGTTTGATAAACAGGCAATTTCATGCTTCTCAGTATGTGATACACTGGGGAAACATCCTCTTTAAAAGATAAACATGGCAATTTCCTTAATTAGGTGATAAACAGATAAATGTTTTATCAAAGGTGATAAACAACAGAAGTTTTTCTTACATCAGATAATCCAATTTACTGATTTTGATTAACAAGCAATGCCTCTCATTAAAAGATAAACAGACTGAAACATTCCCTCAAGTGATAAACACTGATGATTTGTCTCAATTGAAAAACATTAATCATTTCCTTCATTAAATGATAAACAAGCAAAGTTTCCATCAAGTGATATGAAACAAGGAATTTTGATTTTCTTGTCAAATACTCATAATTAAGGCACTTTTTTGACAAACAGACAACATGCCTGTCATTAAGTGATAAACAGACCAAAAAGATTTTCTCAAATGATAAACAAGGGAAATGTGTTTTACTAGTTAAAGCAGGGAAAATTCCTTTATGTGATAAACAAGCAAAACTTAACTAAGTTATCAACATTTTCCCTCATGTAAATAGACCTGTAGGGAAAAAGTCACTCAAGTGATAAACAGTCAATACTTCTCTCAAGTGATAAACAGTGTTCATTTCTCTTAATTAAATGATAAACAGGGAAACTTTAACTCCAGTGAAAAACAAGGATAAACAGGGAATATGGGAATATTTCCTGAAATAAACAAACAGGGATAATTTTCTCAATTGATAAACAGGGGAAATCCTTTATGTAAATATACAGGTAATATTTTCTCTAGTGATAAACAAGAAATCTGTCTCATGTAAATGGATTAGGAAATGTCTCTAAAGTGATAAACAAGGAAATTTTCTGTCAATAATAACATATTTTACCACAAGTGATTAACAGCCAAACTTTTTCTCAAGTGATTAACATCAAAATTTTCTTTAAGTGATTAACAAACAAAATTCTCTATGAGTGATAAACAAATTAAAGTTGCTTCAACTGAGAAAGTTGGGGCAATTGAATTTCATCCAAAGATAGTAGGATGGCAATACAAATATATTCTAAATAGTCAAACTGTGTTACATTGCAACACAAATGATATATTAACCAATTCATTTATGCTCATTTGGAAGTTTAAATATTGGATACCTACAGCTTCAAGTACCTAAAATTTGATTTGTTAGTGCAGTGAAGACAAATTAAATATAATAGAATAAGCAATTATTTGTCAATATTGTAATAATACAAGATTTATTTCAAGATTTATTTTAAGACAGATTTATTTTAAGACAGTCATAGACCAAAGGCTAAATATAGGGAAAGGTGATTAAAACTGAAATCAAAGTAACGTTAATCCTTTCAAGAATTAAATTTTTTACAACTATGGATCACATTTTAAGCTCTATAAAACTTGTTACACTTAAAATACACACCTTGACATGTCTGTTCGAAATCCACGCAACAATCTTTCATTTGCAAGCATTTGCTATCGCAGAAACAATTTCCAACCGTTTGGTCTATTTTCCTCGAATTTGGTACATAACATGTGTTGTTAACTTGCTCGCAACACAATCCGGCAGACTGACACCCTGTGAAATGTTTAACTTCATATTTCCTTTCTGCTAAAACGCAAATTGTGCAAACTGTTATTAAAACGAAGATACTTTTTGTAAATTCCATATTTCTCTATTTTTATTCTCGGATGTTTTTTTCTGACGGAGTGTTATCCTATGTGTTGATTTCTAACCCAAAGTATCCTGCCGTGAGTTAATTCCAGTAAGATAGTATCATGAGATGTCTGTTAACACGAGTTTAATGCCTTACTACCACAGAAGTTCTGAACTGTTTAGCAAAAAAACTTCAAAAGCGCCGCGTTATATACCTGATCAAAAAACTCTAAGTGCATTGACTGAAATTAAAAAATCGCACAAAGAAATTCAAAGAAACTTTTTTTCAAACTTATAACGCGGCTTTAATGTACGTTGGCCTACACTACGTGCAAACGGAGTACATTTAGCGTCTGTACTAGTAAATTAAACCCCACCAACTACATATGGTATCGCCCAGTCTGGTACCCAGCTCTATCGTGTATAGCTCGATATTTAACCGACAACCAATCTGTATTGGTGAGAAGCGGGGATCGTTTCAAAACATTTATTTATCGGGTTAAGCGCGACGTATTTAATCATTTTGCCTGGCGTCCACACTCATAAATTTAAAGATAAATTTTCTTTGTGTCATTCGGAAGTTGCATCCGAAATACCTAATTTATTATGATGACACATTTTTTCAAAGATGAACTGTAGTATTTTATATTGTATAAATTTAGTTTAAGATACATCAGATCAAAACAGGGTATTTCAAATGACGTTTTTGCGGCTAGTGATCAGCTTTGATTAAAATAGGACTTCGTTTGATATTTTAAAAGATTATGCTCTTTGGGAAATAAAATCATTTTGACTTTCACCTAATCAATAAAATAATCATTTTCAATGACTCACCGTTCATTATTTGTAATGAACACAGAAATAAAACTCACAAAGAAACCACGTGTAACATGACTAAATTATTAAAAAGGTATTACTATCCGTCTGGCGCCCGCCACATCTCTTATTCCTTGGATATGATCAATATTCAACATCTTTCAAATCACCACTTTGGCGTTCAAGTATGAAATTATCTCACTCGTCAACCGCCTGGAAATCGACAGACCTCTTTGATAAGTGTTTCCGTTCGATAAAAAATTTGTCATTCTTCCCCATCTCCAGCGTTCATGTTAGTCATCAAAAGTGTGTGTCATACAATAATCATAGAAAGATTATTTAATATGATATCAACAATGTTGTTTTCACCGCTTTTACCATAACCGGTAACTCCTTAATCTTTGTTAGAGATGTGGTGGACTTAAAAAAATTAAGACTTAAAGTTGTTATTTCGTTTTTGTTTCAATTTCATTTTTGTATTAAAACATATTTTTAAAGAGTGTAGCTGGTAAAAAAGAGTTAACTATGTGAAAGCTGTAAAAATTAACATCTTATCAGAGACATAGATAGCATCTCTGACCGTACGTTTCTTTTTCCTGTAATAATTTCAATACCCTTTAATGTTTATTATTTCCCTTTTTTTCTTTGCACATTAATTATACCTGTGTCAATGTTTATTGTTGTGAACGTTGATATCTTATAAACAAAACATGTAGCACAATACAATAATCAGCGAAATGAACGTCAGTTATAACTTTTAATTTGTTCTAGATCTGTCTAAAATTTGAGGATTTTCATTGGTCTGTCATTTTCTGACCAATCATATGCCTGATTTCTTTGTAACTTTTTGCCTTTGATAGTTCAAGAACTTGTAAGAGTACATGCATGATAATGTTGCCATAATTTGTTTCGCATTCGAGTTTAAATAAACATGTTTAAAATATAATGGAATAAATTTGGTCGTTTGCCCGTTAGATTGTATGTAAGGGAGACCATCGCATTTTACAAGTGACAGTGACATTTTCAACAATTACCGCCCTTAGACAGGGTATTTATTCAGATAATTAAATTGTAATATTGCGGAAAAAAGAAATAAAAGCAAATCGAAATTGTATGAAGACTTGTCTTTAATATTTATTTTAATATTTAATTTTAAAATGGCTTTTTATCAATATACATATGTATGATACATGATGAAAAATTGAATTCGCCTAACAAGGGAAACAAACAGATATTTTATTCAATTATTGGTAAAAAAAGGATAGATTACAAGTTGTAGTGCGGTTTTTTTATTCAGCTTAAACTGTGAACAATTTCAAACTTTCATTCTAATAATAAGACTATAATTTCACCAACAAAAGTTAACCAACAATAGAGGGCTGGTTGTTGCCTTGGAAACTGTTGTAGAACCTGCCAAGGGTAGTCAAACTGGATGAGTGACTATGGAGAAGGCTGGCGGCAGTTGTTATATGTCCAGAAGTCACTATTCGAGCCTTATACCAGGAGAAAGGCAAATCAAAATTGTATGAAGACTTGTTTTAAATATTCATTTTAATATTTAATTTTAAAATGGCTTTTTATCAATATACAAATGTATGGTACATGAACAATTGAATTCGCCTAACAAGGGCAACAAACATATTTTATTTTATTATTGGTCAAACAAATAGACAGTTAACAAGTTGTAGTGCGGATTTTTTTATTCAGCTTAAACTGTGTGTTTCTTTATTGAATATGAACAATTTCAAACTTTCATTCTAATAATAAGACTATATTTGCACCAACAAAAGTTAACCAACAATAGAGGGTTGGTTGTTGCCTTGGAAACTGTTGTAGAACCTGCCCAGTGTAGTCAAACTGGATGAGTGACTATGGAGAAGGCTGGCGGCAGTTGTTATATGTCCAGAAGTTACTATCCGAGCCTTATACCAGGAGTACCTAAAAATAGAAAAATAAAAAGGTCCCCTAAGAACGCACAAAAACGGCAAAATTGAAAGTACTGCAGGCTTGGTTTGATTAAGCCTGTTCGTGTACGGTTCTGTTAAATGCAGCTACCGCTTTTGCCTCATATAACATTAACAGTAATCTGCGTAAGATGTGGGGGACGGACGGTGGCCTGGTGCTGTCTGTCTCTCAACTCAGATATGGAAGATTCGAGTCTTACTGTGATCATGACCATGTTTCTTGTTAGTTTTAGAAAGCTGACAAATAAGTTTTGAAATCTTTCTTAATAATCGGGCTAATATGGATTTATCAATTGCATCTGAAAAATATCCTTTCGTCTTAAAAAAACCCAACTCGTACAAACCTATAAACAAAGTCGGCAGCTTCTAGCTGTGGTAGAAGCTCTTGCATGTATCTCAGTTGCTTGTGGATGTCATGTGAGTTTGGGCACGCAAACTCTGTTAGCCAGATCTTTTTCCCGTACCGATGATTCAGGTCACGTAAATACGCCATTGTTGTGTTGCCATGGCAATGGTAAGCGTGTGTTGCTAGGTAATCTATACGACAACCTTGACAAAGTTTGAAAAAATCGTCAAACCAGTCGAATGAGTTGCCATAACATTTTGAGTGGGTGGAGCAAGGCGCTGCTGCGGGACTAACAAGTGGTTTACCATGCGAGTGTTTTTCAATATCCCTCCAAAATGTGACTGCCTGCGCAGCGGTTAGGTTTGACTGAGAATGAAAATTTGGTTCATTGAAACCTAAAATCGCCCATGTGTCTGAAGGAACTGCAATTGTGTGACGTGAGTTATGGCCCCAAACCATAGGGATGTGATTATACTTGTGCGAATCGATATCTGTACAGTTTGTAAAATGGTGATAGTGATAGAAGTTCATCTGCCAGTCATACCTGGATAAAAGCAAATAATGATAATCTCATATGGTCCCAAAATTAACCATTTTGAAAAATGCACCAATCATGTCTCCATATGAGCCAAAATATTTCAAGAAAAATCAAACTTAAGAAAATTGTGCAAAGATTCCAAAAAAGTAAGAATATTTAAAATTCAAGTAATAATTCACACGTTATATATGAAATTAATGACTGATTTTGCTGTATTAATCACAATATGTTTGCACTTTTGTATATTTTGACCATTTTCGGTATTTTACACGGATTGTTAGTCCCCCTTGCAATGTATAAATTACTTTCTTGTTCATTTCGCAATATTTTACAATACATTTTCAAAAATTTCAAGAAAATTGGCATGAATCTGGAAAACTGGAAGCTTATTTTTAAAAAACGTTCTGAATCCGAAAAAGGCGCACAATGTTAAATTATATAAAAATATACAAGAATGTCATATTTACCACCAAGAAACATTATTAAGTGCTTGGAAATCATCACAAAGAAACAGCTTTGGGCTAAGAGCAATGCCTTTCTTCTGGGAGCAATGTGATGTCCTGAAGAAGAAGAACACTGCTAAACATATGACATAGGCATGTACATTTGAATACTCCATTTCCATGTGATAAGAATTTTTTTCAAATAGTTGTCTTTGTACACATGAGACATTATCTTTACTGTTTAGATATAAATTGTGCATAGATTTTGACCTTTAGTCGATATATTTGACAATCACATCATAAAAATCGTCCCATAAAGATACAGGTAGCAAAAAGTATTATAAAAAGCATACTGTCTGCCAGTGTATGGTAAAAGGCATAAAGTCTTGTAAAAAGACATATAGTTTGGTGAAATGGCAGTAAGGTTTATTAAAATAGCATACAGTCTGGTAAAGTAGCATAAAGTATTGTATGAAACATACAGTTTGGTAAGTAGCGAAAAGTGTTGTAACAATGCAACCAGTTTGGTCAAATGGCATAAAGTTTTGTTAGAAGGCATATAGTTTGGTAAAATGGCACAAAGTTTTTTTTTTAAATGTCATACAGTCTGGATAAATAGCATAAAGACTTGTAAACAGGCATGAATTCTGGTAAAGTCTTGCAAGAAGGCATACAGTTTGGTAAAATGACATAAAATCTGGTAAAGTGGTTACGGCCTTATTAAGGTGCATACATTATTGTGAGAAGGCATACATTTTGGTAAAATGACATAAAATCTGGTAAAGTGGATACGGCCTTATAAAGGTGCATATATTATTGTAAGAAGGCATACGGTTTGTTAAAATGGCATAAAGCCTATTAAGAGAGCACACAGTTTGGTAAAATGGCACAGCGTTTTTTTAAAATGGCATACAGTCTGGTAAAGGTGCATACAGTCTTGTAAGAAGGTATACAGCCTGGTAAAATGGCATGAAGTCTTCTAAGAAGGCATGCAGCCTGGTAAGATGACAATGCTTTTTTAATTGGTATACAGTCTGGTAAAGTGGCATAAAGTTACGCTAGAAGGCATACAGTTTGTTTTTTTGTTTTTTGTTTTTTCTTTTTTAAAGGCACTTGATGTGCACACTGAAGTGCATTAGCGGTTTAAATGTAGTGCACTTTGTGTTACCTTTAGTGTGAACTCAACTGTAAGGTAATGGACAGAGCGTAAACTGCATATCATTATTTTACCGAAAACTTGAACTCCATTTTGATTCACTTTCTAGAATCTGAGAAGACAATTAAACTTTTTGTCTTCCCGGCTAGAATTCACCAGCTTTCTTTGTATTTAAAATAAAAATACATAATTCTATTCCTGTATATTACGCAGGACTCAGATTAATTAAGACACCTATTACCGTTATGCAACATCATACCTTCTCATTCTCTAATTTATTGTGTTAACCAATTTGTGCGTCAGATTTAAGTCAGGTTCTGACGTCGGATTACGGTCGGAAAAAACAGTTGGATTTGAAAGTGTTTTTGACGCAATTATCTGACGTCAGGTAGACGTCAGAATCTAACAAGTTTCTGACCTTTTCCGACCTAAATCCGACCAATTTCCGACCTAAATCTGACCATTATCTAACCAGTTTCTGACCTTAATCTGACCATTTTCCGACCTTAATCTGGCCATTTTCTGACCTCAATCTGATCATATTCCGACCTTAATCTGACCATTATTTAACCGTTTCTGGCCTCAATCTGATCATTTCCCTAATCTTTCTTGTTTTACCATGTTATAAATATTTTCTTGCTAATCTTGATTTGATAAAATTTTATTTACTTCATTCTATCAAGTAACTTCCACTCCAATGAAATGAATTACAAAAAACTAAAACAATTTTTTTTTTATGTTTTTTATTTAAAAAAAGTTGCAATTCATATCTGATACATACATGTTTAGTAAATTCTGCAAGACTAAATACCTTTTATGAATTAAACAAAATAAAACATAAAATAAGTTAATAATAAAACACTTTTACCGAAAGTATTACAAAAACAATTACATAAATTAAACTAAGGAAACATGTGTACAAATATTAAAGAACAAAACAATTTATGTACATTTCTATCAAAGTTTGACTTATCAAATATAAATATTTGAATTTTAGGAAAAGTAAAAAAGGTTCAATTAATAAAATACATGTTTTGCGCAATTAATGACTGATTTTTCGTTATTTTAACTATATTTCTACTGCGTTACTAACACATTATATGCTATTTTTGCATATTTTGACCTCTTTTTGATAATTGCCATTGATAATGTATAAATTACTTGGTTACTTCACAAAGTTATACTTTTAGAACAGAACAGAACAGAACAGAACAGAAACTTTATTACTTGGTTTCAGTGGCGGATTCAGGCCCGGGCTTCAGGGCTGCAGCCCCCCCCCCCCAGCTTGGCCCTAAGATATGTTTACCAGCTGGGCTGGAACATATTTTTTGTCAGTTTCAAACTTTATTGGCTGTAGTGTACTCCCTTATCAAAACATTTATTGCTGTCATCCAGTTCTTAATCTCCTGCCTGGGGGCTTGGCAGAGGGGCAGAGATCTTTATCTATCAACATGCTTGACTGACTTCAATGTTTAAACTGCATAATTGATTGGTTAATTACTTTCCAAAGGTCTAATGAAAAATAGATATGTTAAAAAGTATACCATATTAAACTACCTTTTTTTTCATTTTCTGAAGGAAAACCCTACTGTATATATAATTAATAAATTGAAAATTATTATTTGTAAATTTAAAAGATGGCGAGTTTTATTAAGATAATAATAAAGGAATCGCATTTTAATAACTAAGAAATTAACTAACTTAGAATTTTATCAAGATGAAAAGATTGGTCATTTGCTTTTAGTAACTTTTTATGACCAGTTATATTTTTTAAATAAAATTTAAATTGTACTGACCTCTGGATTCATTGATGGAAAAAAAAATCTTATTGAATATTAGTGTTTGAAATTATGTATTTGCACAATAGAAAGGCAATATTTTAATACCACTTTACTTTGGAAAATCGTCTATAACTCAAATGAGTAAATTGATCAAGTGTTTGAAATCATTTTTATCAACGGTTGCGCATACAATGCTTACTACTAAACACCAGGGGAATTCTATTTGAAAGACCTTGCATACAAAATACAGTGTGATGTAAAATCATCCAAAGGGTACCATAAACAGCACTAGAAAGTCAAGGAAGTAACACCATTTTCAACCTCATATTTCAAAATTTTCTCAGTCTATGGGAGGGGATACCCCTCCCAGGCCCACCCCAATTACATATATTTTTCTTAATTTCATACTATATCATATACACATATATAAGCAAAGTGCATTGCTCTTATAAAGATGACCTATAAAACACATCAAATTGCAATTGTTGTTACATGAACATGATGCTGGTCCAATCTTCAAACAAAAGTGCACAATTTTTCGCCTGTCGCATTATTTTTATCAAAATCTTCCACCCATATGTCAGCCCCCCAGGAAACCATGTTCTGTATCCGTCCCTGGGTTTAAGCATAAAAAGCTCATCACCATATTAAATATACAAATACAACATATAATACATAAATGACACATGACATGAATATATATAATTACAAAATAATGGTTTATGTGATGTGAGAATGTTTAATTTGAGATACGAAATTAGTTAAAAAGCATATGAATACATGTATATAATACACAAGAATTGGCCTATCTTTACCAAACATTATCAATTTAAGCTACAATACATTTTAGATATGTTTCAAAAATTCTCATGAAAATTAGCATGAACTTGGAGGTGTGCTGCTTTAACGTAAGTGCTTCTTTCTCGCCGGCGTCGCGACCAAAATTTAACGACAATCCGACGTTATTTTAACGTCGTGTGTCTGCTGGGAAATTACAAGCTAAAGTTTGTTCACAATAATCCATAATTCTTTTATTCAAAATCGTTTTAAATAATTTAGATTAGAGGAAAGCCTCCATAAATACATTATATTAACATTGTAAACATATAAGGAGCATGCATACGTCTGTATAATAGTATAAATCCTTCTAGTTCCAGATTAGTCATCTTTGCTGAGCGTCTTGACCCTTTTCTATAAATTCAAAATACGCATATAACTTTATTTTAATCAATATACTTGTAGAACGTTTTTATCTGATCTTGGACAAACATATTTATTCTTTTTGTCCCAGATCTTATGTAAATATGCAGTTTACTACTAACTATTATCAGTAGTTCCCAGTGAAGCAGTATCATGTAGATATTAATGTAGACCCTCGATCATCCATAGAGAATATACAGAATTGAAAAATTGACAAAAACTCAATAATTGTCGTCAAATTAAATCAGATTTTATAATACAAAATATACAAATAATGATAAAATAAGTACAGTTGTTTAGGCAGTAGCGGATTTTATGGTATAGCGGATAACATGGTACTTAACAATGTCCCTTTCCATAAAATATGCCGAAAAAAATAATTTAAAAAATGAATAAATAGAAAAATAGATAAATTGATTGATTGATCGATTAATTTATTAATAACCTAATCAATAATAATCAATAAATAAATAAATTAATAAAATCACGGGAATTTCATCACGGGATGGAACGGCTCAAGAAAACATTAGCTACATTCAAAAATAAAGCGCTTTTTAACAAGGAATATCTGACCAAGAAAAAAAGGAAAAATGATGTATTTCGAGCATGTCAAACAACTTCACGACTCAGAATTGTATCAAGATTTGAAGCAATTGGTAATTAATTTGATATTGGTATTAAAACTTCTTGCGTTGTAGATGAGCTTTGAAAATTTGAATAGTCAGTTTTGTCATATATTTTCGCGATGTTATTTTTGTTGTATATTTTTTTAGCAGTCGTTTAAACTCAGGTGCACGGGTTTATCATTATATCATTAACCAGATCCTTCTTTGACTTCTAAAGTTATAAATAAATGCAGGTATTCTGTATTGTAAATAGATATGAATCATGAATGAGTTGGTGGTGTTCAACTTATCATCAAAGTGTTTTGACCACAGTGTTGGGATTGACTTTTTTGAAAACCTAGCTAAACACCGTTTTCCGGTACGTTACCGTTTTAGCTCTGGGGAATTACATCAAATGAAGTACATAACACAGTTACATGATATTTCGATTTTTCTATCAGTATTTACTAACCGTTTAAGGTGAAAAAATTGATGTTTTTGAAAATTATCAATATTCCTTTAATATCTATTCCAAATTATTCAAAAAAATAAATTGTTTATAATGAAAATCAATAAAATTCAAACAGATGTAGTGGAATCTTCCATAATAAATAAGGTTATTTTCTGCGTTAACTTGTGTATTTACTTTATTTTTTGTATGGAATTATTCATACAATGATATCTAATTATTTTCTTATAAAGAAATAATTACTTTATTTCAATTTGATTTTAAAAAAGGCCGAAAACATCGAGTTCGCTATTACACTCCATTGGGTGAATTCCCCAGAGCTATGCAGGGCTTGCGCTGGCAGGAGCCAATGAGCAAATTGGCTCCAAAATAATTAAATTGGCTCAAGAAAATCACGATTGGCTCAAACTTACGAAAAGTATGACTTTTGGAATCTCCAGTCTAAATTTAGCATTTTCTATTTTAAGAATGGAAAATTACACATCTGGTTTTCCATCTTTAACTTCCGTTTTATCACTTCTGATCTCAAAACACAGCGACACAGTCTACTTTTTGTGGGTCATTGACTGGTTTATATTTGTAACTTCCCTTCCGTATGAAATTTTGATATGAACAGTAACACAGTCTAATACACTGACCTCGGGGTATGTTTACATGTTTATCAGCTGATAAATACGACACTAATTGGTGTGAAAAATACCTGTGGCAGATTGTTGAATATGCACTGGATAATTGGTCTTAATATTCAATATGAAACAATAACTAGCGGCATCTCAAGATTATCGCTAATCAAATCAGCATTTTGGGCATGAAATGGCGACAAATAATGTTCTGCAGTTGGCAACTTGACCAGTAAATTTTATCGTTGTTGATAAACAGATCGACGAAATTACGAGTTGATAAAGTTATTGTTGTTGATTTTTTTTTTTTTTTTTTTTGGTGGTGGTGGGAGGGGGTGTTATTGCCAATAAAATCCAGGGCCAAAAACACCATTTTTGAGGAAGGGGCCTCAGCCTTTTTCTTTGGGAAAATATGCATGATTTTAGCATACTTTGGGTAAAGGGGTCTCAAATTTAATACAAAATTTTAACAAGTTCTTCAAAATAGAAAAGCAAAAAGCAGTGGGAATGTTTTTCGAAATAGGACAGCAAAAAGCAGCATTTGGGAAATAAGCATTGGGAAATACTAATAAGGCAGTAAAAGACCTAAATTCAACACCATCACATCATTTAATTTTGTTCTTAATTCTATAGGAAATTTCAAAAGACTAGGGGATTTTGAGGATCAAGCTGGGGAAAAAAAGAGGATAGTTTGTTTTGAGAAGCAGCCTTTATTGGGCCACTACAAAGAAGGGTATTTTGGCCCTAAAATCTGACCTAATTATGGCTCAAAATAATATATAATTGAGAAGGAATTTATTTGACATACAGAGTATTCCTGAAGAAAAAAAGATTAATGTAATATAATTGAGCTACCAAAATTAAGTTGGATAATAGTTAATGCTTTTCTTAATATCCCATGCCGTACCATTGCCTGATACAGGCCGGCAATATTCGCTGCGAAGAATTGGCTCAAAGTAAAAAATTGCCAGTGCTAGCCCTGCTATGTACAGAAAGTACCGGAAAACGGCGTTTAGCTAGGTTTTCGAATTCGTGAATAGTGTAAAAAGTAATTCAAGAAAGAAAAAAAATACTGTATATGTAATACATAGTCAAGAAGTTGAACTCGCCAAATCAGCCAAATGTCACTAGTCCGGTGTAATTCAAAATTGCAAAGTCATTCTAACGAAAATCATATATAGCTATATTATAGTATATATCAATTTGCAGCTACATGACATCATAAGATGTTGACAATAACATTATTGGCCCCATTTAAAGCATTTTTGAACAACAAATATTTTGGATGGAATATCGTAATTTTGCTAGGTAGGACACACCCATGCAACCAGTCTCCACTTGATTTTCTATGTGTAAAAAAACAATTCCAAGCCATGCCATTGTACCAACCTGCAATTAATCAATATAACAAATTCCAAGAATTACTTTACTGCTAGAAATTGTTCCAAAACCAATCAGTTATAGCAAATATTCAGTTCTTTTAATTACTCTCTCGTAAAAATATTTTTTGAAGCCATGAAATATACTCAGCATGGTTGTAAGATGTCATTTGATTAGATGATACTGTGACACAGCTCAGCTTTGCATTGCAATCAACCAATGAAATAATCTGTTTCAAATTGGTCATGTGATAGCCAATGGATGCTGAATTAAACTTTCAGTTTCACATTCAGAAATTAGCTGTCTACAGAAGTTATAAACATTTTAAAAATCAATTTCCGGCGGCAAGTTGTTTCTTTGAATTTGTTTTAAACTTTTATCAATTTTTTACATGTTCAGTGGTACAATGGCATGGCTTGGAATTGCATTATGATCTTAACTTACATGTACTTAAAAGCCTTAATTCTTTTCAAGTCAAGTTTTGCATGATAAATGATATGAAGGAACATAATCATTAATAAACCTTAAAATGTTTCAAGGGAAGAAAATGGTGCAAGCCTTGCACCACATATTGTAAAAAGTATAGTTTTACCTGAAAACGAACCTTGATGTAATGAACTTGCTTTTGTTCACACTTTAGAAAAAATTAATGTTGAGTTTTCAAGTATTTAGCTTGATGATAGCTTGATGATGAAAGTATATATCTTCACCTTAGTGCAGTAATGGGTTAACTCTTATTCAATCTTTATATTAATTAACTGTTACTGCACTAAGGTGACAATATGTAATAATATACTATCTGTTTAATAAACTGCATTTTTCAGGCTTGCATTGTAATGTCACTATGTGAAAGCAACACCTACACAGAGATTTTAACATTGAGTGAAAAATATCAATGTATGGTATATTATGGAAATGCATTGTTTCATCTGGGGGAGTATACAAAGGCTGAGGTACAGTCATACTAATTTAATTTAAGTTATACAATTTTACTGTTGATCTTTTGACCTTAAAACTTAATAATAGATTATATTAGCAGTGATAAAGGAATTAAATATTTCGTTTTCGGAGGCTATGGAGCTTTCTGTCTGAATATTGGTGGTTTATTCTTTAACTTGGGTGCAAGCATGGTCTGTTTTGAATATATATGTGCATTTTATTCTAAATATCTTTTTTTAATATCTGCAAAACTATCATTCTTTAAACTATTAATTTTGTAGAACTTTATTCCATTTGCATCAACAGTTTCATGACAGTTTCGTTAGTAATAATCACTAAGGATTGTTGAGCAGTAACACGTAGATTAATAGATGTTTTATTTTTCAGGATATCTACAAAAAAGCACTGTTGCTTCGGAAGGCAATAAATAAAGCCAAGGGTAAAACTCCTTCATCAACAACACAAACAAACGTAAGCAGTTTTACTTTTAGTTCACACAGAACTTATTTTAGTCTGATTGTGTAGGAAGCTATAAGCTTATAGACACACTCTCAAATTAGTTTATGGAATCAACCAGTACTTAGCAATTAGTATAAGAACTTTCTTGCTGAAGGAAACAACGTCTTGCCCTTGGGGTTCAATTGCCTCCGATGGGGATTTAAACGGAGGGCTAGACATTGATAGATTACTAGTCAGATGTGTTTTCCACAGGACCATGCCACCACAAAGTTTTACTTTAACTGGTTATAACCTGAATAGTTATCTAAGGTAATATAAGGATATTATGTTATTTCTATGTAGATGGTTATCATTCTTTAATATTAAAGAATTTAACCTTAAACCGGCTGAATTTATGTAATGAATTGGTCCAGCTATTGTTTTTGGAACTGTCCATTATCTATTTTAGGGGTATCAAGGTGAAAATCTAAATTTGGTCAGCCAACAGTATAATAGATTATGTCTCGACTGCTTACATATGCAGGCGGATCTGGCTGTAAACTGGTGGCAATGGCTTCTAGCGGGTTGAGGGTTAACTGTAAAAATATATAATTGAGTGGCTATTGTTAACAGGTGATCAGAGATGAATACTTTTCTGGTGTATTTCATAATACTTAAATTTTACATGTAGCTTTTCTTTTTATTCAGGAGACAACATCCGATGTAGAAGTTAAATACAAAATTTACCAGTGTTTATTACATGGGAAACATTGTAAGGAGGCAATGGCTGTTGTAAGTTCACCTCTTGCTTGATAAATGTGCATGTTGTGATAAAAAAGAAAATGCATTTTGTTTGTTAGTAACTTCACATTTGTCCCTTTTCCGGCTGTATCGTGAGTTTAGACCTGTCACTGAAAATTTCAGTTATTTCATTCATTTGATAATAAGCTAATAACAACACAGTCTGGTGTAAGTCTGCACAGAAATATTTAACATTCTTAATTCAAATTTCAAGTAAATATAAATTTCAAATATTTATTTAGAATTTCATACATTATATTACTCGTATTTCATTTGCCTTTTCTAAAGATTGAAAACTTTATTTGTTTCAGAGGCATGATGTGCATTATATGTACTGGAGGTCATGTAATAATTTAAGTTTGTTTTTATTCAGTTGGAAGGAATCAGTACAAAACAAAGGACAGCCAAGGTGAACCTGGCGCTGGCCAAGCTGTATCTTAGATCTGGTATGGATAGGTCAGCTATTACAAGTTACAAGGAGGTTTTGAGGTATAACTATATGTATAGTCTCTATATTTTACCTTGATAATTGACCTTTAACCCATTAGCCTGCTAAAGTTTGTAGTGGATTTGCCCTGCTTTGCAATTTGAGTAGACCATCCAAATTAAAAAAAAAAATCCATCAATCCATATCAAAATATGAAAATTGAAATTGAGCTTAAGGATGTAGTCTGGCTCAATACTGATGGTAAAGGGTAATTACTATGGAATCTATCAAGTTGAGGGTTAATATAATTTACAAAGCCAATGTAGAAGTTATTTATATGTACAGAAAGTAGCACAATTCTGATAGTTTTCTAATTCACTGTGACTGTCAAGTGAGGGTTTTATCCAGTAAGCTTAGGAAAGTCATTTGTAGCTTGAAATGTTTCATCATGTTATATTCTTACATTATGATTGAATTGTTGTTGTTTTTTTACAGGGAAAGACACATGTTTACATTTTTTATAACTTCATTTTGATAACATAATAGTAATAAGCACCCTATTTTAGCTTGTCACTTTGTTGAATTATTTATCTCATAATCTATCAAATTATTTATCTAAAAAAACACACACAAAAAACTATCAAATTATTTATCTCAAAATCTGTCAAATTATTTATCTCAAAAACTTTTAAATTATTTATCTCAAAAACACAGCGAGTATAGAATGTCTATGTTATTTATTATAGGGAATGTCCAATGGCTTTAGAAGCAATAAATGGTTTAATGTCACTGGGATTGAAAGGGTCAGATGTTCACAGTCTTGTATTGAATGGTTTACCAACTGGTACAACATGTGACTGGTTTGTATAATCTTGATATATACATCCATTAGTAGTTATGATAGAGCTGCCATATCAACAAGTGGTATCAAATTATCTTTGATATATTTGTTGATCAATAATCAAAACACATTTATCAAAATCAAAACACGTTTAAAAAAATCGAAAATTTTGATTGATTATTTAAATGTATTAAATTTGTAACAAGATTTGTATGAACAGAACATGTATTGTACTAAAATCATTTAAACAGGAGTGGAAGTGAATAATATACAAGAAATTAGGAGTAAATATTGATATATCGGTGTATTGCCGATATTTGTCATCTGATATCAATGTATCATCAATATGCTTTGCACTGAATGACAGCTCTAAGTTTTGATAGGATTTTATAATGGCTGCCACTCATAAGTTTGAATAGCATCACCTTTTATGATAGTCTCTGCTAAATATATAACTTCAGTTTTTAAAGTCAATCTACTTAAAATAATAGAAAGTGTACCGGATTAGTTAATTAGGGTCGCTGGTTGGATCCTCGGGGGATGTAAAATTGCCTAATAATGTCTAATGGTTATTTGCCTCTCACGGCTAATTCAGATGTTATGTAGGTTTACAAGTTGGTCACTTGGAGATAAACTGGTAATAACTGGCTTGTTATCCAGGAATGCTGGAGAATCAACCACAGTGATGTGACTAAAAATCTGCATAAAAACCAAACAAATAAACAAATTAAAGGAACTCCACTAAGGTTTAAAAGCATAAAACACAAAATATAAAATTCATACTAAATCATCACCTGGTGCCGTTGAAATAGAAAGATACGCTAAAGAGAATTAAGAAATATACTAAGAAATATATTGAAAGTCATTTTAAGTTAGATTAAAAGTTTCATCAAATATTTCTCTATTGTTATCAAAGTATACATAATTTATAACAATTATAAAGAGATTTGTTTTCTATCAACAGGTTAACTCAGTGGATTCGGGGTCACTGTCATGTGAATACACAAGATTACGTGAATGCTGTATTTGTTTTCCGTTCCGACAACCAGGGATGTCTGAAGGACAATGTGTATCTGATGACGAGTATTGCCAAGGCGCTCTTCCTTGATGGACACCATGCACAAGCCATTATGGCTTTCAAAAGGGTACTGAAACTGATTCCTTGGCCACTTGGCCATTTGTCATTCGCATTTATTTCAGTCCAAATAGACTTTGGGTCTTAAACCTCTGCAGATTTTTGTGCCCCCACTATAGGGGGGGGGGGGGATTTAGATTTACCCTTGTCCGTCCGTCCTTTCTAACTAAAAAGCATTTGACCAAGAGTCATAAAACCTTACATACAGGAATGTGTTGATCAGCATGTGTAGTTGTGCACCTGGGTATTTTTGTTTGGATATATTTAGCATTTTTAGAGTTATTGCCCTTGACTTAGTAAAAATTTCCAATTTTCAACTTGTGTCGCACGTAACTAAAAAAGAATTTGGCCTAGGGTCATGAAACCTTACAAGAATGTTGCTCAGTATGTATAGTTGTGCACCTGGGTATTTTCATGTGGATATTTTTAAGAGTTATTGCACTTGACTTTGTAAAAATTTGCTATTTTTCATCTTGTGTTGCAGGAAACTCAAAAAAGAATTTGACCTAGAGTCATGAAACCTTACAGGACTGTTGATCAGCATGTGTAGTTGTGCATTTAGGTGTGGATATATTTAGCATTTTTAGAGTTACAACCCTTGAATTAGTAAAAATTTCCAATTTTCAACTTGTGTCGCATGTAACTAAAAAAAGAATTTGACCTAGAGTCATGAAACCTTACAAGAATGTTGCTCAGCATGTATAGTTGTGCACCTTGGTATTTTCATGTGGATATTTTGTTACAGCTAGATCTTAGATGTTTATCATGAAACATCTTCAAATGGGTGTCTACCAAGTTTGTTCAAATAAAAGCCCCTGTGTTAAAATTGGCCCGGCCCCGGGGGCCTATAAACAGGTGAGCGATTTCAGGACCATCATGGGCCTCTTGTTAGAGCTATTGCCCTTATCTTAGTAAAAATTTACAATTTTCAACTTGTGTCGCATGTAACTCAAAAAGTATTTGACCTAGAGTCATGAAGCCTTACAGAAATGTTGATCAGCATGTGATGTTGTGCACCTAGGGTTTTGCTTGAGGCTTTATTCTGTTTTGTCAGAATTATAGCCCTTTACTTGTAGTAAAAATTTGCAATTTTCAAGTTGTGTTGCTCATGGCTCAAAAAGAATTTACCTAGGCCTAGGGTCATAAAACTTTACAGGAATGTTGATCAGCATGTGTAGTTGTGCACCTGAGTATTTTCATACATTATGAATTTATGTAGTATTTGTAGAGTTATTGCCGTTGATTTAGTAAATATTTGCAATTTTTAACTTGTGTTGCACAAAGCTCAAAAGTATTTGACCTAGGGTCATGAAACTTTACAGGAATGCTAATCAGCATGGGAAGTAGTGCACATGGGGTTTTGCTTGTGAATTTATTCTGTTTTGTGAAAGTTATTGCCCTTGACTTAGTATAAATTTGCAATTATTAACTTGTTCGTGCATAACTCAAAAAGTAGTTGACCTGTAGGCCTGAAAGTTTATAAGAATGTTGGTCAGCACGTGTATATATGCACCTTGGGTTTTGCTTGTGGATTTATTTTCAGTATTTGTAGTTCTTGCCCTTTACTAAATAAAAGATTTTTAGTTTTCAACTTGGGCACATGTAGCCAAAAAAATATTTTACATAGAGACATAAGATTGACAAATCAGTGGAGTGTGGGGGCACCCGTGTCCTATGGGCACACTTCTAGTTATACTTTGAACTTTGCCTGGGACATAACTCTAAAATTATAAGAGATACCAACATGAAACTTTGTAGGTAGACAGATCTCATTTGGTAGAAGTGCATTACAAAAGAACTATAACTCTGCATTGCCTTATTTTGGTGTTATTGCCCTTCATTTTTAAACTTTGAACTTTGTCGGGACATATATTTTGTTTTTGACCATTACATTGTTCTTATTGACCTGAGACATTAGTGGCTTCTGACTTTCCTGGGATAGCAACCAGTGCATTAGACAGGGTCATGTTATAAACAGGTGAGGCAGCTCAAACCAAATAAAGGGACTCGTTGACATTGCTGTTAGTTCTGGAGTGGGGTAGAGGGGTCTGTAAAAAGACAAATATGCGCTACTCAAAATATTTATTCTTCACTACAACAAAACCGTGGCCTGCGCCAACAATTTCTCAATTCAAATGCAAACATAGAAATCACAAAATTGGAGAATAGCAAAATATATATGAATAATAATGGCATCATCTGCAAAAGTCTATTAAGTATGTGCTACTCAAAATATTTATTCTTCGCTACAACAAAACTGTGGCCTGCTCCAACAATTTCTCAATTAAAGTAGGCATGCTTTGTGCAGATTAGGGGGGAAATGGAAAAATTAGTGAGAAAATTTAATTGAAGAGAATGAAAAGGTTATAAAGTACTATTATTTATAGGTATCGGCTATTGGATATGGGATATGAGGTATGAGTGTATAAATTAAAGAAATAACTACGGAAAACAATAAGGGACATGGACATTAACACATAACTGTAGAGAGACAAACATATTGAACAGGAACATGTATATATATTATACAGCACGGACAATACAGACACAGGGTACATATATTACATAAGAACAAGATTATATACAGTGTACATTTATCAAACAAGATTCTAATAATTATTGCTAAAAATAGAAGACTAAATATATATGTCGGTGACAGCTAAAACTGTTTTGACTACTGTATATAAAAAAAACTTAGAAAAAAAACTTCATCTTATAAACAAAGATTTAAAATTTATTTGCATAAGCAATATTGTCATCTTCACTTGATGCTCTGAACTTTTAAATGTAAAGTCAGATATTCAAAGTCAATGAAGCTGGAATCATTCTTTCAATTTAACATGTTTAATGGTATTTCAAAATAATATGTGATAAAAAGTGTAATGTCAGGCCTTTATTTTGAGATTTTAATCTGTTTGATATCATTGAAAACTAAAGTCTTCATTCTTTCTTTTTTATCCTATTTTATTGGCTAACCAGTAAGCCAGAAAGGAGCTTGCAGATATGGATTTTTGCTGCATTGTTTCTTGCCCTTTGTTGAAGAGAAAGCATGTAGCATTTTAATGCTTGTTGAGGTCTGTTTTCTTGTTCCATACATTGTCCTAAAATGTTGAGAGCTGTTTCTCTGTGTCCAAGATTTTCATCTGTTTCTATGGTTCTTATAAGTTTACAAAGTGCTTGTTGTTGATCTTGATGTCTTTGTAGATGACGATAGATCTTGTATTGTAGGAAGTGCAGGAGGGGTAGAGAATCAACTACAGCACAGTCCATCCAACAGTCTTCATACTCATCTCTGTGTATCATGTCATCTTGTGTAGATCTGAACATTTCATATTGTAATTCATGAGGAACACAGTTGATCTCTTTCTGTATAAATCTGACACAAAAAGTTGTAATATGTTTGATATAGTCCTCATTTTGTTCACCACATACCCTCACAAATTTTGCTGTTACTGCTTCTGGGGGCGGCGTATAACAGGCACAGGTAGGTAAAACAGGATAAGAATAATATTGTTGTTCTGTGTGTCTCAGAATAAGTTCAGCTTTCTCCATATCTCCTGTACTGTAAAACACTGAAGCCAATTTAAGTCTGCTAGATGAGATATCTGAGTTTAAAACAGCTGATAGCTAGACCAATGCTTGAGGTGGCACTTGATTATTTTCACCAATGCTGGACGATGCTAGGATAGATCCATATGTGGTAAAAAGAAAAGGTGCTAGAAGCTTGAATGCAGCCTGTTCTAATGTATTACCATTATCACTGAAGGTCATTAGTTTACCTACAGATTGCTTTATTGTTCTAATGTTTTTATTTTGTAAATGTTTTAAGATATGCATATGCTGTTTACTAATTTTACTTGCAATGGCTATATATTCCAAAATCATTACATGTTTATATATTTCAAGAGAAGAAGGAAAATGATAAATTCCATGTGGTACCCTGTTCAGTTTAACTTGAAGTCTATGACCAAGATCATCAATATCAATACTAAGTAACCGTTGTCTATCATTCTGTATAAAATCACAAATATTTTTTGAAAGTTCATGTTTTGTCTCAGCTGTAAATTGCCCTGCCATCAAATTATTTTCTGGTATAATGAAATGTGAACAACAGTCATTTTGTACACAACTGAGTAATTCCAATAAGCAGTATGTTAAACATGTATATAAATTGTTATCTTGCCAAATACTTGAGTCTGTATTTTCTATACAATGTAATAGAACTGTTTTACACATGAAACTTGATATGTTGATTTCATCTTGAGGATTAAGGAAGGACTTAAGAATCATTTTCAATAGTACATAGCACCTTATTTGTGTTATATTTAGATTGAACATAAGAATTCTTTCTGCCAATGATATTGATATTCTCCATTCCAATTCAGGATATTCACTGACCTTACTCCCAGTTGCAACAACAAAACACCCAGTTCTGGCTGCATATCTTCTCATCTCTTGTGTTGGCCATCTGCCAATACCCTGCCTATGTAACCAACCTGATGCTGATTGAGGCCATGATTTACAGGGTAAAGCAATCACTATGTCTCTATCACAGAATTCAGGTTGTCCTTGTTCAGCAATAGATGGTCCATGCTGCTGATCAGCACCCTCAATAAAATCAGTTATCATTGTGTTTTTATACAATATTCTTCCTCTTCTATCAGTAATAAAGTGTTCATTAGGAATGACAGTTTCAGGAAGAGGTTCATAAGGTTTGAGTAGTTGTAAGAAACAATACCCGGGGGTAGTGTTCTCATCCTTTATCATGAGGTAGTTAAACTTGCCATGTTCCCACTCTGACCAGTCTTGTATTATATTGACATCATGTGTACAGATTAGTGAATCAAAGTCTGAATGAAGTCCTATAGTAGTTGTACCTTCAGTTTGACTACCTAGATAATAGTAAGTTCTATTTAGATCAGTTGATTTGCTGCGGATACGGATCAAAGTCTCTTCCAGCATGAGTCCTCTTCTCCTTCCCATCACCATTCTTTCATTGACACCAATGTCATGTAAAACCTCTGATAACATCAATGATAAGTTTTCTCTGTAGTCCGGTTCTTGAAACATTCTGTAATATATTTGTAAAAGAGAAAATTGTTTCAGTCAGCAGTCTTATTAGTTTTATCACATACTTCTACTTGTTACTTATTTGTCCTTTATGTCCTAGAACAGAACAGAACAGGAGAGCCTGAATCTGTACATTAGGAAACATAAGATATATAATTTCTGGTAGTTATCAGTTATTGCATATTTTTCTCTATTTTGTTTTGGTATTTTTCTCCTCTATTATGTAAATTTTAATATTTGTTCTCAGAATTTTGATATAGGAGAGATACTAAAATTTAACACTTTAGATATTCATGTAACATTTTCTTACATAATTCATCCAATATTGATGAAAAATTGTGTATATAAGATGAAGTTTTAAACTTTTTTTGAATTTTTTATTTAAATTTCTTAAAAATAATCAAGAGAAAATCTTTCTTTTCATTTGACAAGACAGATATGTGGAAATTTAGATTTCTATAACACCACAATATATTGTGAAATATACATTATAATGTAAAATATAATTATGTACCGGTATATTTCTATTTAAATGAAATACATAATTCATTTAAACAAATATTTTCTTTTTTTTTGAGATTGATAAAAGGGAGACACAAAACTTAAAAACACTGTCTAAAATATTATCTGAACTACTTTCTTACATAATTTGTTTTGTATAAATGAGAAATTAAGTATTTAAAATAAAGTTTTAAACTTACTTTGAATGTTGTATTTACAGTTTTTCGTAGAAATAATCTGGAAAAATTAACAGTAATCTGGAAAAAATATTAACATCAGATATATAGTTTTATGCATATTTATTTCCTTGAAAACTTTTTGAAACAGAAATAAATTAAATTGTAGGATTATATTTACTGGTAAATGAGAACTTCAATAACTTGAGTAAGATTTTTATAACATTTCCTTGTTAGTTGTAATCATCAGGGACAATAAATATATAAACTTGTTTCAGATAAATTTCCTGAATATGTCTCTCCACAAGTTGAAAGGTTATTTTTTTAGTATGGAAAAAGTTTCCATTCGAGTGTATATTAATGTCCCCTATTTGCAATGGTAGTGTTACTGATACATAAATACTGATGACAGTTCCAAATACAAGGGATGGCAAGTTCAGCATAATAAGAATACTGTTAAAGGTTTACACATTAATACAAATCATATTTAAGTTAAAACCTGTATGGAGAAACAATTAGTTTATAGAAGGGGTGTGTTTAAAGAACTTTTCCAACAAATTTACTTAAAATAGAGAAAATTGAAACATTAGTGAATGGCCAATGACCCTTCAGAATCTTGCTGGGGTTCTTACCAGTAATGGACTTATGGATGGCTTGCACTACTATGATAATTGCTTGTTTTGCATAATTATGCCCCTTTTTCAGCTTAGAAATTCTTGGTAAAGTTTTTGCTTGTAAGCTGGTATCTCCATAACTACTGAAGGGTTTGTGGCTTTTTTGGAACAATTTTATGCATTCTTAATAATAAAGCAGTGATTAACTCGATAAAACATCTTGATAACAAGCTTTTGTACCTTTTCGGACAATTTTATGTATTCACAAAGGTAAGCATTATTATACTCGATGAAACTCCCTTGTGACAACTTTTTCGAATAGTCAAGCGTTACTGTCCTCCAACAGTTCTTGTTAGTTTGCCCTTGACTTAATAAAAATTTACAATTTTCAACTTGTGTCACATGTAACTCAAAAAGTATTTGACCTAGTGTCATGAAACTACAGGAATACTGCTCAGCATGTGAATTTGTGCATCTGGCGTTTTCCTTGTGGATTTTTTCTGTTTTATCAGAGTTATTGCCTTTGACTTAGTATAAAATTTGCAATTTTCAACTCACGCATAGCTCAAAAAGTATTTGACCTGTTGGCCTGAAAGTTTGCATGTGTACTTTTGCACCTTGGGGTTCGCTTGTGGATTTATTCAGTATTTGAAAAGTTCTTGCCTTTTACTTAGTTAAAGATTTTTAGTTTTCAACATGTTGCACATGTAGCGGAAAAAAATTTGACCTAGAATCATAAGATTGACAAAACAGTGGAGTGTGGGGGCACCCGTGTCCTATGGACACATTTCTAGTTTGTAATGGATTATGCCCAGGTTTGAATTAGGAACAGTCCATTCAAAGTGTAATGGGTTTGAAAATCAATATCAAGATACAAAAACTGAGCTGCCAGCAATATAATAACTGATAAGACTGCACTGATGTGCAGGTCAGTTTAGCTCTGTACTTTTTGCAAAGGACTATCACTTTCAATTTTTGCCAGTAAATGGTTGAAATGCTTAATTATCCTTTAGTGAAACTTAGGGTTGCAACCTTTGAGTCACTGGCCTAATTCTTTGCTAGCTTGCACAGAAGGTCAGATGTTCTACTAGGGTGCATTCTTGTATATTGATTATAGAGACAACATAGAGATCTTCCTCTACAGTAAAGTTGAAAAGATAAATTGTTGCATATTTAAAAAAAAACAAATCTTTTTTTTGTCCGTCAAAGTGGACCTAGTTGATACTATAAAAAGTATTGTTTCAGGCTCATGCTGTGGACCCACTACATCTAAATCATATGGATGTGTATTCATACCTGTTGTTTAAAGAGAAAAGATCTTCAGAACTTCAAAGGTGAAAATCATATTTCTTTTACTAATGGATATTTTTGTTTGCTTTCTTAATATCTGAAAGCTGCATGCCTCCACTTGAGCAAAAATATTTCAAGAATATTAAACTTGAAAAATATGTGATTTTGCAGTATTCATCACAATATTTCTAACTGTGTTAGATTTCTACTGCGATACTAATGCAGTAAAGGCTATTTTTGCTTATTTCGACTCTTTTGACTGTAAGTGCTGTTTGCAATGATTAATAAAGATAGTTAAAAATATAATCAGAAATAAGTCAAAAATCTTTGTGCTTTTTTAAGCACGATTTGAGTGGAATAGGCTTTTCAATTTAAGTTTATTTTTCACATTAAGAATAGTTATTCTGGAAAAAACAGAGTGAGTGACAATCTGAAATTTTTCACACAAGTTATTTGTCTAGACCTATATCAAATGGAACATTAATCTTGAAAAATTATATTCAGTCCCGTCATGTAAAAAAAAACTCAGTGGAGTGCCTTTAAGATGTTCTTTTCTTCAAGAAAAACATTTTGGGTTATTATTAATTTGAGGTGTTTTGCTGGTGCTTAAAATTATGAAAAGAAAGTCATATAGCGTTTTATTTCTTTTCATTCAGTTGTTCATTGGTCATATAACCTTTATGACCTTTGACCTTGACGTCAAGAAAATCAATAAGTTTGATGTGGTTTATTTATAGATTAGCCAATCAGCTGATGATAGCCACGGAGGCAGCACCTGAACCATGGGTTGCTACTGGATACTTGTCAATGTTAAACAAAAAATATGTTAGGGCAGTTTACTTTGCTCAAAAGGTGAGTTTTCTTGATCTCTTTAATCAAATACGAGTTAATCTTTTATTATGCTGTCTTTTAAGGTAAGCAATGCATGTTTTTCTTTAAGGTAGTCAATCTATTATTCTTAAAAGATTTTAGGCCATTTTTACTCACTGTTAGTTTCTATTATCCATTGTTTAAGTGATCATCACTGTAATAAGATATTTTTCATGTACTTATGGTCACAGTAAAGTGTATAAAGCTATATCTGATGGAAATTTTAATACGAGTTAAAAAAAATTATGAAATAATGTTGTTTTCATAACCTTATGATGGTCTTCTTGTAGATTTGTAAGATCATAATTAAATTAACATGAACGTAACACAGAAAAAGAATAGCGTGTTTTTTGGAACAAAATATTCCACTGCTATTATAGTAGGTGTGGCGATGATTTAATTCTGTGCATAATCAAAGCTTAAATAAAGTTAAACTATCCGTTATGGAAGTTTGAATACTTTTATACAAATTATATACAAGAAATGTTTTTAACAAATGATATGTGATTTAAAAATTGTTTTATTTGATCTAGGCAAGCAATATAGATTCAACTAGTGTTGAGGCGTTGTTGCTGAAAGCAAGTGCTCTGTTAGAACTGAAGAAAACCCATGAGTCCATCATGCACTTCCAGGCAGCCATGAGATGGGCGCCTCACAGGTTTGAGGCATATAAAGGTCTTACTGATTGTTACGCATCAATGACAAGGGAAAGAGAGGCTCTTGGCTGGGCGGGTCGGGCTTTGAAAACCATTGGTGGCAATGTTAGAACATTAACTGTGAGTAACCTCTAGCATTTATATGTATGTTACAGAATATTTTATTTATGTTTTGTTTGTTGGGTTATACGTCAAAACAATGCATAAGAGGTCATACGGAAATTCATATTTGAATAGAAAAGCTCACTGTAAAAATAGTTTTTTTTCATTACCTGTCTGACTGTGTGTGTGTGTGTAAAAGACCAGTGTTTTCTTTGAAGTCGGAAAATGTTGCCAATTGGTTTATATGTCTGTTACCTTACTAAATATTTCAATAGAGAAACTGGTACTTATGATGATATTTTTATTATATTTCAGCTATATGGTTTTTCATTATATTTCAGTTATATGGGTTTTCATTAATATTTCAGTTATATGTTTTTTATTATTTTTCAGTTATATGGTTTTTCATTATATTTTAGTTATATGGTTTTTCATTACATTTTAGTTATATGGTTCAATAATAGCAAGAGATTCCTCAGCCATGGCAAAGGTTTGTTTTCCTTTTATATTGGCTTTCTATATCTCATATTTTTAATACAGCTTCAATTCTTGAAGGATAATGCTATATTTTTTAAAGCCAATTAAGGGACTTGTGCACCATAATTGCAATGCAGATGTTATATTGATGTTTATGACGATATAAGACTGCAAGTTTGTAACATCACTTTTCATTGGATAATCATGACGTTTATATAGTTTTATATACATGGCTGCTGTCGATTCATAAAGAAATCTTATCTTTGTTTCTTTAAAAATGTTGCTTTGCTGTATTATAAATTCATTATAAAGATTGTTGACAGGTTATATGACCGTATATAAATGGCTGTTTGCAATATAACCCTCGCTTAACAGCTCGGGTTATATTTACAAATAGCCGTTTATATAGGGCCATATAACCTGTCAACAATCTTTATAACTAATAGTAAAACTGTTAGTAGAGAATATTGTAGAGTAAATTAAAATCAACAAAGAAAATCTGAATTTAATTGATACGAAGTTAAACATTAGGTATAAGAATGTAACAATTTTAAAAGCCAAGTAAGTATAAAGCAATTAAAGGAATGATTGCAGTGATGATTTAAAAGGCAAGTGTCAGGTTTCAAAATCAGGAATTGTTGGTTTCATAATAAGCCTACTTAAGCTATACATGCTTGCTCCTTTGATTGCAAGTTCTCATTTTTCCAGGAAGTTCATAGAACATAGATAAATGAGATAAATATATATGTTCTATATAAATAAATAAAGGAAAGAAAACTGTACTTTCACATTCACAAGAGTGAAGTAATGAAAAATGGAGTTAAGAGATGTCAAGTTTACAGAAGTCAACTGATATTGCTTTACTGTATAAATGGATATTCTGAATGTCAAAATGTTATTAATTCCAGATATTTCACGTGAGGAAATATTAGCAAATCCTACACTCAAAATCGATGTATATTTCCTTAATAACAAATTTTCGTATTCTTATAATAATTATCTTCTATTATGTTTTGTATTCTAGGCAAAACCTTATTTAGAGAAGGCTATGAATCTCGACCAATCAAATTTAGGTCCCGTATTTGTGATGGCTGAAATTTTAAAAGCTGAAAAACAGTTTGATAAAGGCGTAGAATTGTAAGTGCAGTATTTTACTTGGTAAACCATGTTTTACTTTTACCATTTTAGAATCGTTCACCATGCAGCCAGATGGGTAGTTTTTGTTATTTCAGCTATTGTTGGAAATGATTTTGTAACAGTTTGGTTCATTTATTGCCAATAAAAAGGAATATCTGTCTTATGTAAAAATGTTTAAGGTATGGATGGTGAAAATTTATCAAAAATCGTTCAAATGTAAACAGTATGGTAAGGGCGTCTATAAATCTTTATAAAGATATGTTTCAGATAAAATGGTATGGTGTAGCATTATACTTTTTGAAATCTTTGGCAAATAAGTGTATATAGGCTTGGTACAGGTTTGCAAAAATGATCTAAAATGTATTAACAGATTTAAAGGCAATGATAAATGATGATTTTAAATTATAATTCTTTGTTAGTTTTAAAGGATGTGGTAAAGGTTTTACCAAATGATGAAAAATCTATCTTTAACTCAAATGATATGGTGAAAGTATTTATAAATAACATTACATTAATAATCTGTGTCAAGTTGAAAGGGCATGGTAAAGGTTTATTCAAATGTTTTAAAATGCATTTCAGATTAAAAGGGTATCTACAGAAAGAGAGTACATGTAAGTTACATCAGACACTGGCAGATTTTCTAACACACACCGGGGAACATCAAGAGGCTTTAGATCATTACAGTAAAGCATTAGGGTAAGGTGTTTTCATGGTATGGTAGAGTTTTTCTACTTGTATGGTATGGTGATGGTTTTCTGTATGGTATGGTGATGTTTTTTGCATATGATATTGAAAATTTTGTTTTTACTGCATTGTATGGTAAATGTTTATCTACTTGGTGCTAGTATTATAAATTGTCACCTTAGTGCAGTAATGGGTTAACTCCTATTAAATTATATGAGGAGTTAACCTTTTACTGCACTAAGGTGAGGAAATGGTTTTCTTCATGGTATGGTACATGTAAAATTTTGCTGGAACTCTCTTTGGTAGTTGATGAATGCAAGATGGAATTGCTTAAACCTGAATCTGTCAATTTACTAGTCTTTAAGAAAAAAAAATTTCTGTCAATAAGGAGAAATATATATCATTCACCCTGTCTTATGAATTTATCGGAAAAATATATGAAATTAAAAAAAATATATATTGCTGTGTTTATAGTTTAACTAAGCACAAGATCTGATTCATGGGCAAGTAAATATGAAATCTTGTCTGTGGCCCATTGGTTACGGTTGTTGACTTTTCTTGTTGAAGGATTGAATTCTATGAGGGACTTAAGATTCTATGCCTTTTATCTGATGGCTTGTGCCTTTGGAGAAAAAGTTTAAGGTTTAATTTTCAGATGTAAACAATTCATTTTGCAGGTTTCATGGCAGGCGCTGATTTTTATTTATTTTTTATTTTACAAATTCAGACTAGACCCATTAAATGCGAAGGCTAGAGAAGGAATGGAGAGGGTAGAGAAACAAGCAGAAGCTGGTATGGATAGTACATTTGATGTTGAAGTGGAGGAGATGGAGAATAGTGATGCTGATGTAATATATATTTTCATTTAATTTAACTTTTAACCTTGCTTGAACCGAAAGTGTCTTTGCCACCATTATTGAGCCTGTATATCTGTGAAGTCTTACAAATTACATTTCAAAATATCAATTTAAGCAACAATTTTATACCCTTTCCCAAAATGCCTCTTCCCAGTTAAGTGAGAAAAAACACTGTTGCCCTGGCTTATTAGTCCCCTACCGGTTTACCGGAGGGGACTTTAGGATTACCCTCCGTCCGTCTGTCTGTCCGTCCGTCCGTCTGTCTGTCTGTCCGTCCGTCAGTCCGTCCGTCCACAAAACTGGATCCCGCAATAACGCAAAAAGTACTGAAAATATTTTAATGAAACTTGATATATGGATAGATGGCATTATGGAGATTATGCACATCTTTTTCTTTTCTTCCTATGTTGAAAATTCTGGTTGCTATGGCAACAAATAGACTGAAAATATGGCAAATTTTACATATAACCTGGATCCCGCGATAACGCAAAAAGTACTGAAAATATTTTTATGAAACTTGATATATGGATAGATAGCAGTATGGAGATTATGCACATCTTTTTCTTTTCTTCCTAGGTTGAAAATTCTGGTTGCTATGGCAACAAATAGACTGAAAATATGGCAAATTTTACACATAATCTGGATCCAGTGATAACACAAAAAGTAATGAAAATATGTTTATGAAACTTGACATATGGGTAGATGGCAGTACGGAAATTATGCACATTCTTTTCTTATCTTCTTATGTTGAAAATTCTGGTTGCTATGGCAACAAATAGACTGAATTTCAAGATTTCTGATTCTAGTTTTTAAGTTTTTTCACTATAAGTTCTTTATTTCTTAAGGTATTTTCTTCAAACTTTAAATATAAGTTGCTTGTCATCAACCACATCATATGTGACAAGGTTTACAACTCTAGCACAAAATTTATTAGAATTACCTCCCTTGAACTTAAAATTTTCATGAAAAAAACATTGTTTTTTTTTAATAACTTCTTTTTCTGAATGTATCTACTTCAAACTTCATATAAATGTTTCTTATTATCACTCAACATTTGTGAGTGTTCAATACTCTAGCAAGACTATTTCCAGAATTATGCCCCTTTTGAACTTAGACTTTTTTTTGAGAAATTGGTAATTTTTACTCCAACTTCTTCAATCATGATAGGATTTTAAAAATGTTATATTTTGATAACAGGGATGTTTAAAAAATAACTTTAGAGTGTCCTTCAGTCCGTCTGTCTATACATAAAAACTGTTTCCTGTGATCACTTTTAAAGAACTTTTTCAACAAATTTACTTAAAATAGGAACCTAAGTGAATGGCCAATGGCCCTTCAGAATGTTGCTTGGGCTCTTACCGGTAGGGGACTTATGGATTGCTTGCAATACTATGATAATTGCTTGTTATATATGTATTTATGTGTATCTGTAGGTGAAAAAATCTGGTGACAAAAGTTGTCATTAAAGCTTTTAAGTCCAAACTGTTTTTTCCCATTACCATAACATAAGAAAAAAGAAGGGGAAAAGTCATGTATTTAATGAAGAATAAGCTTTTTACAAAGTCTTTTTGAAATAATATGTTCCAAATCAATGAAGGGAAAATCATGGTACTTGCTTAGGCAGTGCATTTACTTAACTGGACTGAACGGAACTTTAGTGTAATTGTTGTTCATCTCTAACTGCTGATTTAGAAATCATGTTGGATGTTAGAGTAGTAGTTGATCACTTGGGCAGACAAAGGTTATTACTAGTTAGTTATCCAGGAAAGTCGGAGAATTATCCACTGATATATAACCAAATAATGTGTTAAAATCAGTGTAATAACTAGGGCGGGGAACGAATAAGAAATTTAATGTTCAAATATTCATTTTCTATGTTTGAATATATTAGAGTATTTATTTTTACAAAATTTGTTCCAGTATTTCTCTTATGTTATAACCAATGACCAAAAAAAAAAAAACTTACTGAAAGTGATTTTTTTCTTTTTACTACCAACATAATTATATGTAACTGTTTTGTCTTATTTTGCAGGCTGATTTTGACGCTAGTGATGTGGAGAGCACATGGTCAGAAAATGACTTTAGTTAGCATATATGGAACACTGACGTAATCTTTGGATATGATCTGGGTCTTGGAGGAGTTTGCAAAATGACATGTATAATTAATTAAACTTAAGTATCTGTTGTACAGATGTTTGACTGATGACTTGAAGTGGGTGAAATGTGCTGATTTTGTTGCCATGTAGTTGTGGTGTTCAGTGTTATTTATGTGTTCTTAAATGTGATCGTGGATTTGTTCTCGAAGAGAATGTTGAAATTCATTCTCACAGAACTTAAGTGGGAAAATTAACCAAAAAGAAAAGCCTCGAATAATGTATGTGTGAATGGTTCATATACAATATAAGTTACATTGTATATATTTGAAAAGGAACTTTCAGCAGTTTTAGCAGTGATCTGGACGGAACATTAAACGTCATGTTGCTGTCACTGCACACCCTATCATGTTGGACCAGTATGCTTGAAAGTCAGAACTATCTTGTTGAATAGAAAATATCATGTGACAGAAATAGAAAGTGAGCATGACTTACTAAGTAACACAGTAAATAAAAAAATTGTGTGATTGATTCATTTCATTTGACAGTCATGCTTATTTATAGTATTGTGTTTTAATTGGATAGTCATGCACATCTGTAACAACTTTTGTAACATTGTTTTTCATTGGCCAGGTCACAAACATTTGTAACATTGTTTTTCATTGGCCAGGTCATGAACTTTTGTAACATTGTTTTCCATTGGAAAATCATGGATGGTGGATATGTAATATTCAATGACGGTTTTTGAACGGACATTCACATGAAATTATAAAATTCAAATGTTAGTATGTACATGTTGCCATATTTGATAGGGGTTGTCTTAGTTTATACAGAATTTATGAATAGTTGAGATTCTGTAGGAAGCTATAACCTTATAGACACACTCTTGAATCTGTTTCTGGAACCAAACAATAATGTGCAATGAGTATAAAGTTTCTTGCCCAAGGAAACAACGGCTTGCACGGACAGGGTTTGAATTTACACGGCTAGAGATCCTTAGATTACTAGTCCGACTAACCTCTTGGCCATGTCGCCACAAGTTTGTCTTAATAATGAGATTTTGATAGCATAATTTGTGAGATAAAAACAGATGTGTTTTACAAATTGAGATAAAAACAGATGTGTTTAACAAATAAAAGCAGCACCATCCTAATGTATATGTTTTTTAGCACTAGACAAATGTAACCCAGATCTCTCACTATGGGCTCAGTGCAGGGGATAACGGAGCTCGGTTTTTTATTCCGTCTATATTCCTGTTATGCCTTGAAGTGAGTTTTTGCATTTGCGCCTAATTAGGTGGTGCTTATATTTTATCTAAAGCACAGTGGAGAAGGGTCATTTATCAAGTATTTTAATCCCTTTTATCGATGGACAATGCTTTTACAGTCCATTTTGTAATCTGAATGTCAAAGTCCCCTCGCTCTGCTTTGAACTTTGGGGCGTGGTTACGTTTGACTGGTGCGTTACTAAGAGTATTTTTTTGGTGTTGATGCTAATTGCATGTGATAATCTAATTAAATTGTATATAAATTGTTAAATGTGTTGTTTTAAACTTTGCCATCATCAATACAAATTTGAATTAAAGTGACATTATGCTCATATTTTCATAGTCAAGTTGAGCTGAATTGACATTATATTTCAAAAGATTGACTGTTAAAATGGTGTCTGACCAACAGTTGACATTAGAAAATGTTCAGGATAAAATTATAAATCTGGCTAAAATATAAAAAGACTGCCCCACTCTTTTTACAAACTGAGCGTTATAGGTAAATTCTATTTGGATCTGTGCATTATTTATTGTTTATGGGAAAATAAATTATTGAATTAAAAGGAATTATGGCAAAATGAAAACTTATTTTGATATTTACCCTTGGATGAACATAATGTCGCTTTAACTTTAAGTATTTTTTATGAAGGTTCAACGAAATTCTAAAGGCAGCGTTTGTCCTCGTGTGTGATGAAACTATTCCTTAACGACTGATCATTTGTTTCTCACCGCTAAGTGGACAAGTAGTTACTTACTTCCGGTGACCTTGAAAATTACTGGATAGTTATAAAGGAAAGCCAGTTAGGTGGACTGATATATGATATAAAAAATATGTTAAAATCGGCGTAAAGATCCCAACCAAGTTTTGTACATTGTATCATAACGTAGGCCAAATTCGACCGGTCACAATCCAGTTACATATTAGTCACAGCCATCCAGTAGACCTGTTAACCTAGATCCATATCAACACATGCACACACATAAAGATAAGAGATTTGTAATATGTGTATATTGTACAGCTCTCATGGATATAACACGGCTGGTTTCTGGTGAGACAAAAATAAATTTGTTGTAAAATGTATAAAGCTATACATGTACATTACATTATTTTCTTCTTTTTTTCAAAATACTTGTAAGAAATAAATATGGTATAGAATTATCTTAATTAAATGGGGCATGGACGAAATCGTTGCTAAACTGATAAAACCATACTGGAATTGCAGACTAATATTTTGTCGAGGAACATTTTCTGTTTACGTACAATTCACATTACAACTCTGCGATTCAAACATTCGATTTTGGGAGCAATTTAATTTTTCTGCTGATAAATTTTAAGAAAACATTTCCTTAGATATAACTTGATATGACCTTTAATTTTTACTCAGTTATTTAAAAAAATTACACTACAAAGCATTGCAAGCTTTTCATATCTACTCGAAAATAATCGTTCTTGTACTCTGTAATTATCAAGGTTGAAAACGATTTACATAAAGCATACAATTACAATAGATTACCAAGCAAAATGTCAATCGGAACATTTCGACAATTATCTCTTATCCGAGGTTTGACGGAAAGGGCCGAGATGATGCGACATGCACCATCCTAGTTACATCTAGACAAGGCGATGGGGCTAACAGCAATCTGTGTAAGCCCGAGACATTCATTTCTAAATTTCGATATAAAGGGTACAAGAAATAAAGTATAAGTTCGATTTAATTGTCTTTGGTTAGCTATCCTGTGGTTGTGCACGTGTGTCCGTGCGTTACCCAGCGACTGCACGCCGTTGGAGGACCATGTCCTGGACCAGTTCGATCCCCGCACTGTCTTTGGAACGAACAATGAAATATCCTCGCATCAACCACCAAAGCGTGTGAGGTCCAATATCCGTCCTGGACGACCTCTTCCGACACATGCTTTCTTCACATCTCAAATCAAAACCACCCGACCAGAGCCAATGGTCCTTTGGCCTTATTTTGGTAAGCACTTTAACCTACACAACAACTAGGAATCTACTAAGTAGTTATTTTTATGACTCGTACATCTATTTTCTACTTCTTATCTTGAACTCAATCAGTCCGTTTAAAGAAAACATTTATAAATATCTGACAGAAAAATACGGTTGATATATATGACTCTTTCTTATTCTTTTGACAGATTTTGAAATGGTCAAGGCGGGATTCGAACTCGAAGCAATAATACTCAGCGATATTTGAAGCACCCGAGCACACAGGTCCCATGTACTTCATATTATGGCTATAAAAATGTTAACTTGTTTCATTTTTAGCAACAATGGACGCTGAAGGAATTGCGTACGATGCATTTGAATTTAAGCGCTTCATAGACCCAGAGCGCACAGTGTATGCTGACGGACAATCTATCTGGGAGGAAGGACGACCTTGGCATCGGCTTCTCGACCTGGGGACCAACATGTTCCAAAAGGTCAGCGGGCCGGATGGGAATCCGCTGGGGAATTTTGACGGTAAAATCAGCAAAATGTAACGATCTTTATTAAAAAGTGTCTATATCGTGTCATTTACAATATGTCCTTCGTGTTTTTTTCGTCGAGGTTGTTGTTCTTATCTGCCTTTACATTAGAACATTTGGTAACCTTTTTAGGAATTTAGGAATTCCGCAAAGTACATATTGTATTTGCTTGATAAGTGGAGTCCGTAAAGCATGCTTGTTGATTATATACATATGTTTTCATGTAATTACTTGTCATCAGGTGAGTCGGGTGTAAGAATTGGTATTGAGGGCAGTGGTGAACCGGAACTACAAGATTTTGGAGACTTGTATGGTAACTTTATGTATACGGGCAATGGCGGTTCCATGGAGGTAATTCATGTTAACAGAATTCTGATTCTAAACTAAAACCTGTATAAAAAAGCTAGCATTTTCTTATTTTTAAATCTTTTTGTCAATGGTACACTATTTCATTCCATTTTCATAAATTATAATTAAGTTGTAATAAAAACAAGCAAAATCATTATTCTTGGGGCACTACTTTTAAGATCACGAACTTAACCACGAATTTAAGATCCATCGAAATATCATTTCGTCTACTGTAAGATCTTTTTGCATCAAATTATTAACATTTTACCTTTAGGAAAAAAAAAAGTCCTCGAATGAACCCACGAAAATGCTCTTTGTGACAAAACAGCGAAATTTCATGTCCGCATAAGTTAGTGAATTTACAGTAGTCTGCTCCATATCCCAGCTATATACATAAATGTATTAGTATGTAAACTGTCATAGCAGTGGGACGATATCTTTTTTAAAAACGAACATTGCGTGCTAAAATATCATTTGTTGTCTTGTAGGTTCCTTTGGTACGTGGTTCGATACTTTTGACTCACATTTTCAAGAACGCCAACCCCGTGATAAGACCGTATTGTCTTGACAACATTAACGGCGAACATCATCAGTTCAAGTGTCCACTAGCTCCTGCGAGTAAGTATCACATTTATTGATATGTTCTTAAAAACAGTGGACTAGTGGTTAGGGTCAATGACTTCAAACCACTTGTCCCTAACCGCTTTGGATTCGAATTTCATCAAGGACTTTGAATATTTCATGTTAGAAAGCTATCGAACTGGCTTACAGAACGTCGGTGGTTCTACTCGGGTGCCTGTTCATGCCTGAAATTATGCACGGAGGGTTACCTAGCTGATGTCTTCCTCCACCAGTAAAGCTGGATAGTAGCTATATGACACAATTTTAGTTCGGTGAAAAACCTAATAAAAAGAAACATAAAATAAACATAAGAAATAATAATATAGATAATCATTCCAAGGCTAAACACAACTCATGGGGTGTTAAGGAAAAGGTAGATAACTGTTTTCTTGGAAGTCATTGTTATAATTGACACACAGGATCCATTGGCTTGACATGAATGTTACGCCCTTAATCTGTTCAAATATGACAAAGGTATGTTGAACGTTCTTGTATCTTTAAAACTTTTTCCTGTAAGTTAAGATCATTTAGGAGTCAGGGTCATTAGTACTCGTATGTATGTTTAAAGCTCTCGATGATAATGTTGATAGAAGAGAAATAAACAAAATAGATGCGTAAAAACCAAAACATGTGTTAATTTATTACTTAAAAGTAATAATAAAATAAAATGTTTAGGCAGTGACGGTGGAAGTGGATACCTGAGCGCCACATGCGCGGGCTCTATATTAAAAATAACTTTACATAACACACGACCGATCAAGGACCTAGGTTTGATACAATGGGCGGCCAATACGGCCAGTCAATACGGTGCTAGCCACGGCATGCATAACTGTAACAGCCAGAATTGTCGTCTGCTAGATAATGGAAAACAAGTGGAGATAACAATTCCTAACGCTTCCGGTAAGTTATTTTGCAATAAAAATTTAACTACCATAAAAACAAATAACCTAGTTTTACAAATATGAGCATCCTTTATTGAAAGCGTGTTCTAACTGTACAGTAAAACCGTATCGTACAGACTAGATCAAAACGCATTTTTAATTTCAAATTGCTGTTGTCAAGTACAATGTATATTATTTAAAATAAATTCATTCCCCTTATTCATAATTTTTCAAGTATGTAAAGTAAGTTAATTTTGAGGATGAGAATGTAAACAAGTTATATAGAAAATTTAAAATACATGTAGAATCATTCTTTGTGGTGAATTTTCTTCGGAACTGTCTGTTTTAAGTAAGTTTGAGAATAAATGTTTTCTCACTTGATGGTCTTAAAAGCAATTTTTCTTAACAAGTTAACTAGCATGTGTTTCAAAATGAATAAGCTAACTTACTATACAAAAATGACTTTGTAAAAAAATAAAGAACACAAAGCACATCCTGTCTGTTGTTATGTCTTAAAATATCAAGTTTCGTATATGTATTACTTCTCAAACTCTCTTTAATGTCCAGTCCGCATTATTCGGACGTTTGTTTATTTACGCATTACATTTTATCTTATAGCTCCAGGATTTCCTTCTCTTTCAGGCACAATGTCATATGCCATCAACTATATAGGCCACTACCTTCTCCCGCCAGATTGGGTTAATAATCCAAATCAGGTCACATGTAACGTGGGGAAGAAGCGATCGTCTGCCGAGGAACGGCCGTCTGCTAAAGAGGAGCGGTCGTCTGCTAAAGAAGAACGTTCTATTCGAGATATCGCATTGCACGCGACTTGTGACAGCGGAAACAACGTGGAAATACGAGTGGACCTTGCAGGATATAAGTTCGCTACACATTTAGTAAGTACAGCTTTTAACATAATTGAAGTTTCAGTGCCCCAAACGTGACAGATAAATGTAACCAACGTCGGATATTTTACTACACCTGAAAGGCCCATCATGCCTTTAAAAATGATTAAATTATTATATTTTTATTTTCCGATAGCTTTTTCATTTTTGATGACCATTTTATAGTTTCCAAAATGTTACCCATGGGCAAATAACCTAAACCATCTTTTGCTCCTGTTGCTTATTGACAATTAGTACATTAGTACAGTTATAGTGATTTAGTATTTTGCATGGAAGTCAAAATACTTCTTTGTCTACTTTGTTACTTTATGGCGGATAATATTACATTTAGCGCTTCTTTCTTCAGGTGATATGATAAGCATCTGACGCGCTCTAAAATCATTTTTTTAATGTAATATAACTCGGTTTTGCCCTTTCTAAAGTATGAAAAATTAATCCGATTCTAAAGCATATTGTGGCTTTAATAAATTTTGTTCTGCGGCTCTAAAAATGAATTTCATTTTTCCTTTTCAGCAACTTGTTAATGTAAAGGAAGAACATATCAGATCATTGTCTCAGAACTTAAATATTAGCGCAAGATATTAAAAAAAAGATATGTCATTGTTTCCCTCACAAATAAATTATGTTAGGAAAAGCGTTGTTAAATACACAGCTATTTGTGCCAGATGATAAGACCTTACTTGCAACACTACCTCCACCATCCTGCCAACTTTATGTCTCAGTAGAACTGCTGTAAGTCGTAGTTGAAAGTAGGTCAAAGAAAGATGAGCTAAATGAGGTCTTGGTTGTAATTCCCTACCTTATAAAAAATATCATTGACTATCAATATGTTTAATTATATTATTGCTCGCTCTTTGTCAACGAATTTGAGCCGCGCCATGACAAAACCAAGATAATGGGTTTGCGACCAGCATGGATCCAGACCAGCCTGCGCATCCGCGCAGTCTGATCAGGATCCATGCTGTTCGCGGATGCGCAGGCTGGTCTGGATCCATGCTGGTCACAAACACATTATGTTGGTTTTGTCATGACACGGCTCATTTTCTTTTTCATCCATTTAACAGATTCAGTACGCAGTGGAAGCTTCAAACAACTGGAGCAACCCCCCACCCATGAGAACTTGTGGATCAAATTGTGTGCGGAGTGGAAACCTTGTGATTATCAGAAGACATTTGCCGTCCTCACATATTAAGTAAATTGATATATCTTAGTATATGAATACAGTTTCAAATAGTTAATTGATTCTTCTTTGCTAGTTTTCACTTTGTTAATTGCAGATTAGTTTAAACATATTTATTTAAATAATTCACATAATTTATTTATTTTACATTTTATATGTATATAATTATTACATAATATCAAAAGGGATTAGATATAAGAAAACTTATATAGTTCCTCTCCCTCTACTTATAATTGCAGATTGGAATGAATGCACTGAAGAAAGTAATTACATATGTTTAATGATAGTTATTGAAAAATGAACTGTTTGAATGTTTAGTATGTGTGTAAAGATATTTGTTAACACTATATATGATTACCATTGAGTCATTTCTTTTACATGTTATATTTTCTTCGATCATTGATATGATTTTATGTAGAAGGCTGTATATTTCTTAATGTGTTATCTTCTTTAAATTGAGCCGTTGTTCTTATTATTATTAAACCGATTTTTAAAAGGTTAGTAAAAGAAAGGTAAGATTTGCTATGAATATCATAGTCTACATTTGTTCTGGCTTGCCATGTAAACAAATTGTTATATTTTCAAATAAGCCATGAATATTATAGCCTATATTTTCAGGCTATCCATAAATGTCCTACTATGATAGGTTATAATTTCATGCGAGTCATGATTATCTTAGGTGTAACAGGACTTTTTTTGTTCTATAGCAGGGGCCGTTTAATGGGGCTTTCCCAAAGAAAACTTCTTTAAAATCATGAAATTTTCCTTAGAAATTGAATTGACATAAAGTTTTTTGTCCCCCTTTTACAAAAATACCATTTCAATTTTTCCCAAAGTAGGGTAAGTGCTGCTACCCCAGCCTGTGAAAAAGACTTGTGTTATATTTTCAGGCTAGCCATCAATATCATAGGTTATGAAACCATGCCATATTCACACTGGGTCTCGAGGCCACTAGAGCTTTATTGTGGGTCGGGACACACGGTAAACTACGGTGGCAGGGGAACAATACCCACTGTTCACCACACGAACCCACCACCTGTAACTTCAGCACCGCACACACAACCGCCTGTTCACCACACAGCTGCGCCACATACAACACCTCAGCCACATGGTAATCTTTACTCATACTTTCTTGAATATTTTTGCAAATACAAACGAGTTATTACATAATCAAAGGTTGTCCCTAGCAACATTAGTATTAAGAGTTAAGAATCACCTAATGGCCTTAATCTTGATTTTAATTGCAGCGGAAAATTATAACAATAATTTGTATGCAATATTTACGGGAGCGCCCTGGCGTCAATCTCATTTTTCTGTTACAGAATAAACTCCTAGATAGGAGTTTTTAAAGCTTAATTTGTACTTGTAAAAAAACTAATTAGGAAATATAAAGTCCTTAAAAGGACTTTGTAAACTCTTTATTAGGACATTAAAAAGCCTAGTTATGATCAATTTAAGTTAGGACTTTGCGACTGCTAATGAGGAGGTATAAACGCCTAACTAGGATTTTATAAGCTTATAGTTTAAGTTATTTGCAAATCTACCTGCCGACAAGATAATTTTACAGAAAGGATCTCGTTTCATCGTCCGTAAAATATCGTTATCTCGCCTAAAGTCTCGACCTGTACATGGATTGTTAGACACCCGTACAGTCTGACCAGGTTCTATTATGTTGGTAGTTCTTTTGGTACTCCCTTAATATTTGAATTCTGTTATCTTAACCTTTAAATATCAGGTGGACTGTTTCAAATTCAAAGAAGGGCAAATTTAGTATGCTTAGGGTTTAAGTAAGTTATTTATAATGCATGTCAGAGACTTTACCAGTACCGTGTTAGCTGACACTGATTACTTTTATCCTATTATACACTGCTGTTTTATGTTTTATTTAAGTCACTCACCAAACTGGGGGTGGAACGCCGCTTACCGCAAACAAAAAGTTTATCTTAGAAATGAATGAACAGGGCAACGATTTGCCGCATCAGACAAGAAAATTTGTCTTGTATTTTAGTGAGGAAGTAACACCACATGTTCACCAGTCTGACAATAAAATCACGTTCTCTCCTCGTGCTGGCGGGAATTATAACGGACTGGTTCAGATAGCTTATCTCGGTAAGTTAGGAGAAATTCTTTTGGAAGGATATTTCTGAAATTAAATGAACCATTACATTACTGTAAGCCGTTCGATTGTTCCAAGTCTAAAAATAATAGCCTAAGAGTTGAGGGTCATTTAAGAAAAAAAAACAGAGCAAGTACAAAGACTCTTCTTTGCACGGCATAACCTTTAATACCATAGTAAGATATATCCGTTTTGCATAAAATCGGTGGCCATATAGGACTCCATCTTGGATTCTGAAACGTTGTAGAATCAAACTATTGTAAAATTTGTTGTTGTTATTTTCAAAAGAAGAGACTAGATACATGCTTTATACAAACAAATCTGATCACTGGCCCTCTGCTCTTAGGTCATAAACTTTAATTTCCTAAATGTCTTGGTTTAGTTTAAATATTAACTTTAGTTCAAATATTTCTTATACATTTTGCCATCTTCTTTTCTATACCGGAACTTTATCGTCCTGTCTTAATAGTGGAAATGAACAAATCAAAATATAAAGTCATCTTGCATTTTAGACTTCATATGTATTTTTATGAATGGCAAAACCGTTTAAGCCGTTATTTTATTGAATTATGTGTTTTAGGCGCAGGACCACGTGGTGGTCATGGGAACGATTCCGTGTTCGATAAATACGCCGGAATATATTCATACAAACCAAAAACTTCATTTTGTGTTAGCGAATCGACGAATAAAGCACATGTAACGTTTAATTGGCACCCGAATAACTTACACGCCACGTCACCAACTGCATCACTCCTAATGCTTATGATGCCACATCACGTAAGCAAAGCCACGTTATGTTCAGTTCGTTACAGTTGTTTCACCTTTAATCTGTGCTATTTCAACTATATATGCAGCTATAAATTGTTGTAAAGATTTAGCATTAACATTACATTAAATTGTTTTTCCTATACAAACTGTCTTCCGAATTTTTAACGATGCAAAGTTCTGATGAACTTTCGTCCGGCAAAAGTTAACCGACTTTTAATGCAAATTCCATGATAAAACAATCTGGCATCAGAGAATCTGGTTAAAGTCTATTCTTGACATGACAAATCAATTCAGGTGTGTGCTTATAGACGCGATAACATTTAAATGCCGTATATTTTCGTTAGAGAGCATCCTTTGTCTTAAACTTTAATAAGACCTCATCTGTAATTATTTTTGGCTTCAATAAACTTAATATCTGTTGTAAGCATATACTCTAGGCAATCGATATTCATACAATGTTGTAGGCATATACCTTAGACAATCGATATTCATACAATGTTGTAGGCATATACATGTACTCTAGACAATCGATATTCATACAATGTTGTAGGCATATACTCTAGACAATCGATATTCATACAATGTTGTAGGCATATACTCTAGACAATCGATATTCATACAATGTTGTAGGCATATACTCTAGACAATCGATATTCATACAATGTTGTAGGCATATACTCTAGACAATCGATATTCATACAATGTTGTAGGCATATACTCTTGACAATCGATATTCATACAATGTTGTAGGCATATACCTTAGACAATCGATATTCATACAATGTTCGAGACACAGTGTTTGGTTTTAAAGCATACGAGGGCTCAAGTATTGACCTACCTATGGACCTTCCTCGAGCCTCCATGGCCCCCGACTCCGGGGCCGTCAGCCGTCTCACATCTCAACAAAAACAGGTATATATCAGGTTGTTTTAAAATGTTGATTTCTTCATAAGATTTAAAGGATGTAAATAGTGTTGTTTTCAAATTCTTATTGACCGTCAGCTTCAACTTATACGGACAACATCGAAATTGTAATCTAGAGGTCGGTGGTTCAATCCTCGGTCGAGGCGGAATTTCTACGTGATCATAGACATTGAGTCAAATGGTCCTTTCAGACTTTTGTCTTTCGCCGCAGCTTCTGAAAACATATGGGTCAAACCAAACATTATTTTCCGACAGGACTAAATCTACGTGATTTGACGTGCACTATTGCGATACAAGTAAGTGTTGTTGCTTTAAGGAACAATCAGTTTTTTCATAATCTCTCTGTGAAAGATCAACAATGAAAAACTAAATTGTAGAAAGAGAACGGTAGGCATGTTGCTTCGCATTTGCAACGGATTCTAAAATCGGCTTTAAACTGTAGTCCTTTTTTTCGACTTGAAACTGGTGCCAGATTTGACAATTGAAGTAAAATGTAAGATTTATGTCATTCATAATAAAAATATGAACATATTTAGGTAGAGTTTTGCCTTCCGTACTCCCGGTTGATGTAAACCTTACTTTTTAATTATGGCGTAGACCAGATAACGCCAGAAAACGAAATAGCTTGCAACTGAAGCCCGCTCTAATACAAGCAACTTCCAAGGTTAGGCAAAGTGTTTGATAAAACGGCTTATATACTGACGAAGATCCAATATTCTATGGAAAGCTTATATTTTTCCCCGTAGACTGGTGCATATCCCAAAGAAATTGGTACAGAAATAAAATATTTACGGCTGTTTTCTTTTCCGAATCGAGCAACATTTGTCTTGGAAATGATGCCGAAAATGACGTCAATGTCACGTGGTATTGCCACACTGAGTTGAGAAGAAATTGGTAATTACTGGTTTATCATCCATGAAAGTCGTTAAGATCTCCAGACCAACCAGCTTTCGTTGAAATCAGCATAAAACAAACAAATGAATCTGGAGAAAGTTTAAACAAAAAAATGGCCTCTGTTATCAAATGCACATGGACAGAACATTATAACAGAACAAAAATAAAGATTCTCTAACAAACATGTATTGATAGCCTCGAATTTTGCCCAAGAACCATACGTTTTATTGGAAACTAACAAACTCTGATTTCGACAATTTTGAAACATTTGTATGAGTTTTATCAAGATACAAGCACACATTGTAAGTACTGATTACTGAGAGCTTTAAATATTATAGGTATGACAAACATCAATGTGAATTTAAGAGTTTAGTAAAATATCCCATAATACTTTCAGGATATAGTTGCCGCGATAGACCGGGATGCATCGAACACTTATTTGGATGCTATTTGCTCACACTCGGACAGTTATAATGTTGGTAAAGCTATAGGGATGGTGGCCAGACTGGCTAGTATATCAAGGGAATTTAACACCAATCATTTTACAAAGCTGGACACTTCTATCAAAAATTGCTTAGAAAAATGGTTACGAGTACAAGGTCAGAATCAGTTTCGTAATTGTCCATATTTTAACGTTTTCTAACTTTATTATTACATATCTCGCTATGTTTAGTTTTATTGTTGTTTAATTATTTATTGCTTGTAGATTTGTTTTATATTTTAATGTGTTTCTAAATTGTTCTATGGAGTAACTAAGTCTTTATATTAAATGCCGATGGCGTCCTGTCAACTCACAGTTGTGTTGAGGAAGGAGGTTGAAGTTCGTGTTTCAAATCGCTGGATGTTATACTTAAATTATCACAGAAACTACGAAAATTACTGAGCGATTCAATACTAAATTTTACCTTAAAGTGCACTGTAGAATTATATTTTACTTTGTGGGCATTATCATGTTCAGATTCAGATACCGACTTGTATTAGTAACGAATGTCATAGGTCTGGGTAATTTGAAACTATCTGAACGACCTAGAGTTTAATATTAAACAGGGTATTTTGTATTCTTTACAGATACATTATCAGACATGTGGAAATTTAGATACGATACAGTCTGGGGCGGACTATTTCTCCGAGCGACTAACGGAGATTTAAATTTCGGAGTAGATTATGGATTCCCGTACTACAATGACCATCACTTCCATCTGGGATATTTCATATATGCTGCAGCTTATTATGTGAAACATTATCCCCAATGGGGCCAATGTTAGTATGACTGATATTTTTTATAGTATTTTTATCAGTACTAGTAGTAAAATAGTAGTAAAATAGATTCTAAATACTATCAGTTTAGCACCAGGTCAGCTAAAGCAAAAATTCAAACAGTCTAGTCATTGTTTTATTACTGCCACATTTATGGCTTTTCTTGTAATGCAACCTCTTTAGCGCAAGGTCAGCCAAAACACCCGACCAATTGATCAATGCTATGTTAACTGTCCCTTTAATGGCATTTTTCGCATTACTGGAAATATAAGAAGATAAATATGTCACTATTTTAGCACCAGACGAGCCAGCATAACGTATTCAAGGAGTCTGACCTTTGTCAAACTTCTCTGTCGTTTTAACATTATGATATAGAAGAATCAGATGAGGTAGTCTGACCATGCTCTGTACAATTATCTATTAGTATAGTTTGCTCATATATGTCTGTTTTTGTGAATATATCCTTTGCGCTATATATAAATATGAACAGCAATGAGAATAAGTGTACCTACAGTAAAAAAGAATCATCATTTTTTATTCACAGCAAACAAACACAAACTATATCTTCTGGCACGAGATGTCAGTAATCCTTCACCAAACGACCCATATTTCCCCGTTGCCCGACATAAGGATATATACACGGGATTCTCGTGGGCATCGGGGCTTGTACCGGGAACTAGACAAGAAGAGTCGGCGTCCGAGGTTCATTTTTCAATAAAATAATCACGCTCGTGTATTTAAAGAGGTCATGAAAACAATTTTGCTGTTTTCCGTAGGCAAAGCGGCAAACTTAAAGGTCATAGTGAACAAGTGTTTTTTCTGTTTTTGTAATATCAGTTCTCTATCTATTTAGTAGCACAATGATGTGAAAAGGGTACAATTTTAATAAAAAGTAGTCAGTACAGTAACTTTGTTTCAAAAGATAACATTTGACTGGTAACAGTTACCTTGACTCAGTAGACCATCACGTGATATGTCAAAATTTACTCTATGCGCACAAATTATATGCGGTGTAATAGTATCCGCCATATTTTAAAGCTACAATATTATACTTTTGAGACAATCAACGTTTCTTTAGTAGCAATGCAATGCATACATTGTGATCTTTTGTGTACATCGCCTTTAGTTGGTCGGATTAAATGTAAAACCTTTATTTTGCCTTCTTGTTGTTTTGTCTTGAAACAATTTTACACTTCTTTTTTTTATTTTTGTTGTTTTTCCTAAAACATTTATACATTGCATCTAAAGGTTGTGCAAAAGTTTTCATTTTAATTATTGTAGTCGTTGAACTGTTACCATGGTGTTGCTGCTCTGGGAGAAGCATTCAACGACAAAAGTCTTCAACATGCCGGACAAGTTATGCTTGCAATGGAACTACTTTCTGTGCGAGAATATTGGCAAGTGCGTCAACACAACCGAGATCATTTCCCGCCAATTATTCAAGATACCGGTGTTTGCGGTCAAATCGCCGAGGACAGTTTTTACGTTTACACACTTGATTGGCCTTGTGACCCGAATAGGTTCCCCATGAGACATGCATGTTTGGTAGGAATACAGATTATTCCAATAACATCTGTATCAAAATACTGGGTAGATAAGGTATACACATTTTATTAAATAACCGTCTTATTAAATCGGACAAACATTGAAAATAATGAAGTACAACTGCTTATTTATAAGCATTTGCTGTATGACCAATAATAGATCTTTACTACTCCTTGTATGTTACTCTTTTACTTTGATGCTTTCTCAGAAAATCTATATATCATTAGAAAGCAGCTGTCTATTGAAAATTAGCTCGTGTTTCCTTGTTTGTTATGCGAAATTGTAATCAGAAATCTGAAAAAAGTTACTTACTTTCAAACGGTGAAAATTCGTTCTTTAAATGATATTTATTGATCATGTTTTTCTGTGATTTTTGTTGAGCATTTGCTATCATTTTTATGTTATAGAGGCCTATTTGTTACCATGGGTTTAATTACAATTAGTTTAGCTAAATATCGTGTCGCGATAAAGCCGTAATTAAAGCCCTTGTTTGATATGAACACTTCAAGATGCAGCATGCGATCAAATTGGACAAAAATCAATCGGTCAGTTCCATTGTGTTAACTGGTGTTTGACCTAAACAATTCAGATAATTTAGTTACATTCAATGTATATGTAATAAAATTGCTTTAATGGCGAATTTATACATATATTTTCAGGAATGGGCTAGTTCAATCAAACATTCGTGCACATCTGCTGTACACCCGGAGCAAGAAAGTTCATATAGCATTGCAGACCATAACGAGAGATCTAGAACACTTTCTACTGTAAGATATGGGAACATTATCAGCATCTATAAATAAGCTTATATTAAGGCTTGCTCTAAGGTTTAAATATTTTTGTTGCGACATCATAAAATTTCCACTTTCTTGCCAATGTTAGTGTTTACTTAATCACACACTTAAAGTTTGTAAAGTTGATGTTTTAAGACAAATGCGTTGTTTAAATTTTCAATATTCACGGCTGCGACAACTTTAAGAATTTGAGGTTAATTTTGACCGAAGAAAACAATTGAAAAATATAGTTTTATATGAAGACTGTTGGCAAAACTTTCACAACGATTTATTTTGGTCCTTATAAATCTTTATAACTACATTTAACAACTATTTATTTTACACAGGGTTGGGCAGCATTTTGTCTAGCAGCAATGGCGCCTTTAGATTCCACACATCAAACAGAAGCCGCTAATTATGTACGAGACAAACGTCCCCAGCAGTTAGTGGGCGGGACAGGAGCTGCAAGCACCTTGCTCTTTATCTATGCTAGCACATAAATCTTATTATCTTATAGATAAATACATGTATTAAATATAAAGATATAAATTACCCAATAAAGTTACTTATGTATTTTGACTAAACTTGATTTACCATGGCAATGGAAAGTTTAAATGCGAAATTTGATCGAGTTAAGAGTCACAATGCCACTGTTTTTAAGACAGATAAATAAATCAGTCGGAAATCTCGGCTGACTTCATTGACTATAAAAAACAAATGAGCCGTGTCATGACAAAACCAACATAGTGCGTTTGCGACCAGCATGGATCCAAACCAGCCTGCGCATCCGCACAATCTGAACAGGATCCATGCTGTTCGCTTACCAACTCTATTTCAAGTAGAGAAACTGATAGCGAACAACATGGATCCTGATTAGACTGCGCGAATGCGACGGCTGGTCTGGATCCATGCTGGTCACAAACGCACTATGTTGGTTTTGTCGCGACGCGGCTCAAATATAATCTCTCGGGTAAAATTCGGACCCGCAGCAGTGCGGATTAAGTTTTACGTGTTGCCCTTGTAAAAGATACACACCACAAAAAACTGGTACATACAACGGTGCAGGTTGGATGAATAATGTGGTAAAACAAACTTTACTAGTACTTATGTTTCTGAATGCTTTTTGTGTGTGTGTTTTGGGAGGGGAGGGTGTTGTTTACTCCATGCATTCTGTTAATTATTATTTTACGAAGTAAGTATGCAATAAGCTATAAAACAACTTGTAAGTACAATGCATCTATAATATTTAAAGCATCTTTCTTATGAAAAGATGTTTTGATTCATTTTGCACGTTGAAAACTTATCAATAAGTCTTTGTTTTTGTTGAGCTACTGGTAGATTAATATAAAGTATGAGAAAATCACATCTTGAAAAAACCGGTTATAATTAAAAGTGGTCAAACAGTCAAAGAAACTGTTGTGATTTTTTATTTTTAAACAATGCTTTTTAATACATGTTCAATGTATACAGCTAAGGTTTCTACATATTGTTTCGATAAAGCAAACATGAATAACTGGTTCAAAGTGAAAGAAAAACCAAAAATTGTTACACTATGGAAAATAATTTCCCAAACTTTCCCTCGACCTGTGCGAATGCTATTATTTGATCTTTTCTTCCAGAGTTATCGCCCTTGATTCCAATAAGTTGGCCATTTACTTCAGCGTCGTCTGGAGTTGGCACCATCCAAACCATTGAATAACCACCTTCAATATTTTCCGGTGTATCGACACCAATGACGTAACATGTCGGCGTTGCGGCTGACGTATCAACGCCGAACGATTCTACTAACTTCCGGAATTCTTCTGTAGGTTGAGTCACTTTAATGCCAAATATGAGAAAATCCTCGTCAGCTTCTCGCGCACGCGCAGACGTTATCTTTGATGTGATTGTATAGTTTGTTTTGATAATTTTGTTTACGTCTATCACTTTTGAAACATTTCCGTTAGGCTCAATAGCTACAATCTTGCTATCCGGAAGTGAAATCCAAAGCTGGGCACCAGCGTTAGATGGTGGTTGTCCAGAGGCACTGTTTCGTTCGTAAAGGACCATGTTTGTCGCGCTCCTAGCAACTTTAAATACTTGGCCACTGTAATTTCCGAAGTCCCTGATCCCGATCATCGATTCAATCCCGTTCTCCCCTCCACTGGTACCTAGCATCGGTGGCGGAAGTGATATGTAAACAGTCTTCTGGAAGCTATCCCAAAGCAAAGATGGCCGCTGCTCTGTAGCTCTTTGTTTGATTTTCTTCGTGTGCCGTTTTTTGAATGACCTTGGTCTAAATTTTAAGCTTTGTTGAGTTTCCTCCCTTTCAAAATTTGCATACCATGCAATGACTAGTCTGTCTGCCATTCTTTCGAAAGCATCAATAGCATAGAGACGCTGAAGACCTAAATTACCTGCCTGTAAATGAAATCAAAGCAAATTTATTCAAAAACAACAAAAAAGAACTCCTGAGCGCGTATTTATACATATTTTGTTCTCAAGTAGTTTGGAAAAGAAACGGATGTGAACTTTTTTTAGCTGTTACTTTCTGATGAATGAAGTAATCGAATAGCTATGAGTTCAAAGGTACATGTACAAATAAAATCTGAAAACTTCCCAAACGAAACTGTCATGGAAAGTTACGGAAAGAATAATTCTAAAATGAGTGCTTTAATTATATTTTAATATAACATTCAACCGTGCGTTTCACATTTTTTTACCTGTACGCCATCATCGGGTTTGAATTCTGTAAGAACATAGAATCGATTACCATTGACTACGGCGGGGGCTGTTGGGATAAAGGTTCCGTTAAATCTCTCAACATTACCGGTAAGATACAGGTCTGCCATTGGAGTTCCGTCTGTAGATGAAAATAGATAGTATTGACAAATGTATAAATTAGATAAACGCTGAAATTACATTTATAAAGGTAGTTTTGTAATACAGATAATATCTTCAGAATGGCTGATTCGGGAGTTGCAACTTTTAATTGTATGGTAAAAATGCACCCCGTGTTGCTATCAAATTATGGAAATACTGCAATGTTGTTCGAGCACATTTGGCACATCTCACCTAATACCGGTTAGCATGACGGAAATGATGTCCAAAAAAGTTCCTTCTTGTACTAGTATATAAGCATTGTTTGTTAGAGATACATACCAGAATCTCGTGTTGAAATCTGACCTGTTTCTGATACAAATAAAAGAAGGTCCGGATCAATATACTGTACTCTGCAAGTATAGAAAATGAAGTTAACATAGTTTCACACTTTTTGTTTATTTTAAATTTTCTATCCTATGATAAACAAATAAAACATTAGTATTGATAAGATTTTTTTCACATTATCTGCTCGCTAGCTACTATGGTTGAGAACAAAGTCAGTTACAAAATCCATGCGTTACTAAAAACAGAATTGTGCAACTTAATGAGAACGATAAATATATAGTTTAGTGGGATAAAATGTTAACTTCCTTAATAGCGAGCTCGACGAGCTGGCCCGAAGGGCCTGCTCGCAAAGCGAGCTTTACGGTAACGCGAGTACCTGCTAAGTGATGGTTTTGAAAACTTTCGTCCAAAGTACCGAATTGGACACATCGCAACCTTTCGAATTTAAAGATAACGATAAAAACTGATTAATTCTGGCTGAAAATAGACTGGTCCCCTGCGAACTTCTAAAAAGTACGACAGGAAACCTCCAGCGAATGCAGTTATTTCATTGGTTAATCGATATATGTAAACAAATATGGCTGCCGGTGGCTGAAGAGCATACAGAAATTTGGTAATATTTCTGTTATTTTTACTTTTTCGAGAGGTTATATTTGCGAAATTTATGTTCAAAACCGTAATATGTTAAATAAGTAAAGGCATAATAATAATGAATACATTAGAGGACTGTTTGTTTTAGCCTCTGTTTGGAATAATTCAATGTTATCAAAGCCATTGATTAAGATCCGTCCCATTACCGATTCGACCCATATAATTCAAAGATTATATGAAATAAGATTATATTTCAAAATGGTTGTGGCTTATTTTCAAAATGGTTTAAATTTATAAAACATCAAGAAATCAATGTTTTAATTAATGTGTGGCTGCAAGCCATTTCATTTGGAAAACTTGTTCCGGTTAGGTGGTTTTCTGCTTACATTTGTAAGTGCATGATTGAACGGGAAACCAGCTGAAATCGTGCCAATCGCAACTTTTCGGCCTTTTCCGTCACTCTTCGGATTAATGATAATAGCCGATGTAGTTCCGATTGCAATCGTGACAATTCGGGCGATTCCGTCATACTGCGGAATCAGACGAAGTAATATTACGGAAATCTAAGCTATTTTTAGTTACTTCGGTAATCCCAGTTTGTTTATATAAATAGGATGATTTATTGATTTAAACCGTAATAAATTATAAACGAAATTGTTCCGTTTCAATTCTTTTTCAAGACGCAAAAGTTAGTTTCTTTTATAATTGTTTTTTGTCTGTATTAGTTTTATACAATAGAGGATGTTGACTGTAGTAGTATTCCGTCTTCAAAGGGTGGTCCAAATCACACAGAATATTAGTGCATGATCGAGTTATATTTAGATCTACTGAACTTGGTGAGGTAATCTAAAAATAGCCCATGCATATCATTAACCTTACCACGTGATGATTTATAGATAGCGCATCGTATCTGTGAACATGCTTATTAATTGGTACCACGTAACGAAGTATTTTAGCGCATTTACTTGTCTATAAAGCTGCTATATACTACCAAAACGAATGATTTCTCTGCGAAAAAAGTGGAAATGAAATGTGCACACTTGTTTCCTTTCAGTATGATAGATAGAGCTCCACGTTAGTATTGTTACGATTGATTATTTTCTTTATTAGTTTTATACAATAGAGAATAGATTTCAAATCGTTTTGACAAAAATATTCTTTTTTACAAAAAATAAAAACAACTAAATATGTTGGGATGAAGGCACAACTGTGCAAGCCTTTCCTTTTAAAAGGAAACTTTATCTAATTTTTTTCATCCATATCTAGTACACAACTCCAGGGACAGTTTCCTTGAGGAAATTTCATTTTACATTTTGTTCTCCCCCTTATAAAATTTAAATGTAATTTCCTATGGTTGTCAGTCATCATGAAAATGATATACATATACAATACTTATAGGCAAGAAGAGTCTACTTCTTTGAACCAACCTGAACCAGTATTTGTGAACATGCTTGTGACCTGATTAGTGCTTGATTTTGTTTGTTTGTTGTTTTATTTTACGCATTTTCCCCAACAGTATTTCAGTCATATAGGCGGGTAGTTTCCTAACCATCGTTCCTGGAGAGATACACCAGTACAAGACGACCTTCCTCCGTGCTAAACTACCTAAGCATCTCCTGGGGATCGAACCAACGCCAGAGAGGTATCTGGATTAGAAGTTATCGACTCTAACCCATCGACCACAGAGGCGGTTGATTAGTGCTTGAATCCATGATCCATATGTTGAAAGGTAGACATCTTAACAAACACCAGGCCACTGCTCCTCATAATTTTTTATTTCTCACTGACCTTTCAAAAAATTAAATGAATTTAATGATTCAAGCTTCAGCCAAAATAAAGAACAAAAGGGAGGAACAAGTTTTTGATTTTGTTGATATGACATTCAAAATTTTGATTTGATATTGAATTACTGGTGATAAGGTACTTCCCCACAAGCTATTATTAACAATATGCCACAATAACAATTTGCCAGAGTTAAATAATGATGCACCATTGTACGATTAAAGCAAAAATTGAGTAAAATTTACTCAAGAAGCGAAATTTAAAATTGAAAATAATTAATAAGATTTCAGCAACTGTTTGAAAATGCCCCATTATGAAAGTGAAAAAAAGGTATTTAAACACATGGCGATTTGTTATGTGATGAATTTTTATTGTTGCGAATCATAAAAATGTCAAGTAGAAGATTGACCTACAAACTATTGCATGTATTTAAAGCAGTTATTGCCAACTGCATTTTTTTCCGGAATCCACCAGCTTGCTTGAAGCCTTGTGAGCAACTAGCTATGACTGATAATATAATTCCATTCAATCATCAATAATTTAGGATATTTATGTGCACATGAAACATATTGTTGAAATTTACTTAAAATTTATTGTAAACTTGATGTAAACATTTCTTACAATTTCAGATGTATTGAAAGGCAGTATTTATTGTATTCACTGTATTCATCATGTTAGGATAATGAAAAGCAACCAAAATGTGGTCATATAGACTGTTAACATAATCTTCACTATTTTTCCAACATTTAAATTCTCATTTAATGATTATGAATGTCAAAATGTCAATGTCAATTTGTTGATACCACATCATTTTTTTTTCCATTTTTTTTTCCACAATTTTCAAGATAAATCAGAAAAAGGGAAAAAATATGAAATCAAATTCCAACAACTATGAATGAAATTCACCTACACATTTAATTATATTATCAGGGCATTTCAGTTGAAAAATAGCATTTTTAGGAAAAAGTCTTTTTTGGCTGTAAAAATTAGGAAAATAATCACTGCACATAAGTAAGGTAGTAAACAAATACCAGCCAAAAATACTTTAATTGTATCCATTTTATCATGTTAATATTGTTTCTGTAAATTTGTAAACATATTAATAGTTTTCTATAAACATTGTGGCTGATACTATGACTCCTATAGTTTAATTGGTAAAACACCTCTGGTTTATTGATAACTCATGCAAACTAAGAGGAGTTCTGAGTTCAAATCTCAGTAGGAGCAAGGATATTGGCTATATTATAAAATCAAATCTGTAAAAGGATAAACATAGATAAATGTTAAATTTTCTGTTTACCTTAAGACCAATGTTTTAATAAACTTCAGAAATAATTGCTAGTAAAATTTTGATAGAATGGCTTTGTGTACTACCGTATTTGGAATATTTATTCATTTAAAATATATTGTTTTAGTACATGTTCATAATGTTAAAGAGCTTAAAATATAGATTAAGAATGTGGAGTGAGTAATAGGGAATAGATGGTCTACAGAATATAGGCCTAATAATATACATGTATTAAAAATATATAGAATTCTATATCAATGAAATTTTCAGTGTCAGTTTTAATAGGGTGCCACTATATTAAATGTTACTCAATGATAATAGGCTGGGTATTCCGATAATGAAACAATCGCAACTTTTTGGATCAATAATAATATCCAGTGTTCCGAGTGAAAACGAAAGTGGTGCATGAAATACTGAATGGAAAAATGAACCAATTTTTTAACTGACTTCCCTGTCCATAGACTTTGCCTAATTTCATATTAAATACATTTGTAAGTCAAATCAAGATTCCTGAGAAATAATGCCTTTTTACATTCTTCCAAACTTTTTTCATGGATTCCTTGCCATTGAAATTCTACAAGTTATTAAACCTATGCTTTTTTATATCTAAATGATTTTTAAACTTTTTTTTTTTACTTTTCATGCCTTTTCAGATTTTAAATATGTGTATGATCATATAATCTGTCACTTATTTTAAGAATCAAGTCAAAACAGTTCAATTTTTCTCAGGTGTTGAAACAGTTTTGTTTTTTTTGGTTGCTACATGTATTTGCCATAATTTGGATTCTTTCTTTTGAAATTGGGAAATAGAGGCTATTTTACCAGCCAATGGTGAAAATGTTTTGTAGAGGAGGGGTGTGCCGTGGTGGAATTAACCATCTCTAATGAGGTATAAAACATTGAAGCTACTGTTTTATGTTTGTTATATAAAACAGCTACAAGCCTACCGGGTACATTGTACAAATGTATCGATACATATCTATGAAATGTGACATTGTGTATACATTCCTTCATGTTTGGTTATATTCCGTCACTGACAGTGCTATGTATGGCAAGTTAACCATTTTTTACAATTTGTGTATCATAATTATGACATAAAGAATTACTTTAGTCAAAGAAATTAAAACATTTTTCACTGAATCGAGGGAAAAACTTGTTTCATTATTGTTGTTGTTGTGGCGTTCTATTTTTACCGTGGAAACCCAAAAGCGGTTTCATTGGCTATTTTAATATAGGACATTATCTGATTGGATAAGGCTAACAGGTGCTCGACTGGTTTTAATTTGCGTTCATTATCTGGTTGTTTGGAATAATTTATATACGACGCAGTCCATTGGACAGAAATCTGTCCAATACGCTTGGGGGTTTCCTGATCCCATTATTGGCAGCCATCTTGGATGGGAACCATAATATGAAAAAGGCAAAGCCTCAAAGCGAGCTCGATGTACTTTTTACGTGAAATAGTATGAAATAATCGCTCATTTTTATTTCAAATGCAGTGACGAGTGCGTGTGACGTCACACGTACTGTGTTAAATATGGCTCCGCCCCTGTCGTGAAATGGATAACGAGTTTTGAAAACGTTGATGAAACTTTGTTTATTTTATTTCACTCTATAATTTTTCAAGCGAAATAAAGATTATTTAAAGTGAAATAAATGTAAAACTTAAAACGTTTGCGACATTAAAATAGCGTACTTGATTTGTTTGTTTTGCACGTGCTGTTTGGCGCTACATTGTGACGTCACGTAAACAATACTTTAAACGTCTGTACAGCGTTAACGACTGAATAAAAGATATTGGTGTTCGGATTCATTTTCTTAGTTAGACCATTTTCTTTCATTCTAGATAGTTTTCACCACAAAATTCGACAAAAAATTGTTTTTATTTTATCAGATTTCAAACAAAAAAGGCGCCTTCGATTTTCATTTTTTATACACAGCTTCCGTTATTCTGGTTCCCTGTCCAATTATGGTTCCCATAGGCGTACGCGGGTGACCAGTCTACACATCCGTTTTCAGTCAGAATTCCTCAGTTTTTATCGTTATCTTTAAATTCGAAAGGTTGCGATGTGTCCAATTCGGTACTTTGGACGAAAGTTTTCAAAACCATCACTTAGCAGGTACTCGCGTTACCGTAAAGCTCGCTTTGCGAGCAGGCCCTTCGGGCCAGCTCGTCGAGCTCGCTAATAGGACAGGGAACCAGATTAGGCTGAAAACGGATGTGCATGTAGACTGGTCACCCGCGCACGTCTATGGGAACCATAATTGGACAGGGAACCAGAATAACGGAAGCTGTGTATAAAAAATGAAAATCGAAGGCGCCATTTTGTTTGAAATCTGATAAATAAAAACAATTTTTTTGTCGACTTTTGTTGCGAAAACTATCTAGAATGAAAGAAAATGGTCTAACTAAGAAAATGAATTCGAACACCAATATCTTTTATTCAGTTGTTAACGCTGTACAGACGTTTAAAGTATTGTTTACGTGACGTCACAATGTAGCGCCAAACAACGCGTGCAAAACAAACAAATCAAGTACGCTATTTTAATGTCGCAAACGTTTTAAGTTTTACATTTATTTCACTTTAAATAATCTTTATTTCGCTTGAAAAATTATAGAGTGAAATAAAATAAACATAGTTTTATAAACGTTTTCAAAACTCGTTATTCATTTCACGACAGGGGCGGAGCCATATTTAACACAGTACGTGTGACGTCACACGCACTCGTCACTGCATTTGAAATAAAAATGAGCGATTATTTCATACTATTTCACGTAAAAAGTACATCGAGCTCGCTTTGAGGCTTTGCCTTTTTCATATTATTCAGTGAAATTTGCTCGTAAAGGGTGACAGAAATTGATTTAAAGTTAGCTACTAAATAAGTTAAAGACAAAACAAACAACAAAACAAACAACAAAATAACAAAACAAACAAAAAATCACAAAAAGGTTACCCAAACAGTGGTCTCATACGAGGCTCCAGATTTATCTGCGCTAAAGGTTTGCCATTGACGTCATAATGCATCAAACTAGAACCGTCAGTTCCCCACAAGTTTCCTGCCTCGTCTAAAACAGGAAGTGTTGGGAAACGCAACACGAAATCGCGCCATCTAACACTTCCGGTTGCTGCGTCCAGAGCCATTAATCCACTGTAAGATGTTGATACATATAAGATATACATTTTGTACTTAAAACTAAAATTAAAAAAAAAACACACACAAAACAACAACAACAACAAAAACAGGTGACATTATTTTTATTGTATGCCCATGACCGGGAAAGTGAGTACAATGGCAGTTTTGAACTTTTATTTTCTTAAAAGTTATACCAAGAACTTTCTTCTTCGTATAATACTTAATACTTAGTAACCTATTTCCCCAGTAATACAGCGGCTGGAAGATCAAAACCTTAAGGAAACTCAGAACTGTTTACAAAGTTTGACAGGAAACATTTTATTTCAAAAATTAGAGAATGTCATGGGAAAAGTACTCTTCGGAAATTTAAGTGGAGGGAAGTGTAGCCAGTCTAAACCTTTTCCATGTAAAAAAATAGTTGTGATAATTCAAGTCGTATGTTGGTTTTTCATTATGATTGTTCTATAAGTTGAATATACAATAAATAGAAATAGAAGCGGAGTTATTGCATGTTTCCGTATCTTTTGGAAGTGATAATTTAGGTGCCATTTCATGAAATCTTTTTCCCTAAATGGCATTCTGGATGAGTTTGCGTTCTCGAAAGTGATACTTCAATTTAAATAATAACAAATCGTCGTACATATACGCCTTTAACATTGTATAACCTCGCTTTAGGCCAGATGGCAAAAAAAGAATAGAATTTAAATACTTACGTATCTCCGGGACCTGGTCCATTTGACTGGCAAACTAGTGTCACTGAGTTGCCCACACAACCTAATGCTTCCGGTATAGGTCCTAGGAAATAGTCATTGATCCAATCTATTGTTACATTATCACGTGGTGCATTCAGTGCGAAAGAAAATGTCCCACTAGGACGGCATCCGTACATCGGGCACCCATCTATGGTCTGAGAAAAAGTAGTCCGTGTTAAACATACAACAATGGCAGAAAACATAAAAGTGACACCATAAACGACGAACATTTTTATGACAGGATCTCACTCACAAAAACATGTACCCTGTGTGCTAGTTGTATGGATGTCGTTTTAAATATTAGCCTAATACTTTAATTTATTGTACATTGTGATAACTACCCAGCGTCCGGGGTTATCAAGCGTTTGTGTGTCATTGTTTGTATATTATAATAAGATAACAACCCGATTATGTCGTCAATAAGTAGTTAACTGATATAAAAACCAGTGATATGTCATGATTAAAATTTGAAGACATTTTATGTAAAAAAAGTCGTGACTAAAACTTAATGCGACGACGACGACAATAACAACAACAACAGCAATAATATTGACTGATAACTGATATTGATTGCATACATTTATATATAATTGAGTACTTAAACAATTGGAATAATTTTGCAATGTCCAGCAGTAAGATATTTTGTAAGCATTACCTGCAATTTGGTTATCCCGCCCACAGGCGCTAGTCACATAATCAAATCAAATATTTTACATAATCGGTCTATATATGTATATAAAGATATCTTTATATACATATATAGACCGATTATGTAAAATATTTGATTATGTGACTAGCGCCTGTGATACCGCCATTAATATTTTGTCTAGAAAGATACGGTGTCTCGGTCAGAAGTATAATATTTTGACGTTGCGCGGAAAAGTTGTGGTAAACGCCCTATCACCGTGGTCATGTAAACAACTCTATAAATATCTGTACAGCCGTAATGACTGAATTAAAGATATTGGTGTTCCGATTTATTTTCTTAGTTCATTCTAGATAGTTTTCAAAACAAAATTCAACAAAAAATTGTTTTTTATAAAACAAAATGGCAAAAGAAGTCCCTTGAAATAAATATGAGTTAATTGACTCCGCCCACTTTCATATTTATATTTCAAATTTATTTTTAAAAAATATGAAATATATTTGACTGATATAGCACCATATTTCATAGGTTAAATTAAATAATTCTCAATATCCCCTTTCACTTAATCGGTGATTTGCATGATTGATTCCCTTGGAAATTTGTACAGTATTGACTTATCAACTCATCGTCAGTATAGACGTCCAGCGACTGTGACCTGTTCCCCGGCGCAGGGGCCTAGGTCCATCTTTGAAACGCTACCATGAACGCTGCCAGGTTTGATTTTGGAGTGGTTTTGACTAGCGGCAATCTAAGATACCTTTAAAACACTCCTAGACTTAAGACTGTTTTTGGTCATAAATATAGGAGTAATAAGTTAGGACCCTTTTTAAGACTTTCTTTGAAACGCAAAATTGTCTCAATTTTTATCTTAGGACCGTTAAGACTCTCCATGAAACGCAGCCCTGTATCATTTCTTTATAAAAGTTAAACTTTACAGTAAATCATACCTCTAACAAATCTTTTGGCATTAACCAAATTGTCTCCCAATTGGTGGTTGCTGTACAGAGGTTGTAATTTACTTACAATTAATATGAGCCGCGTCACGACAAAACCAACATATAGTGCGTTTGCGACCAGCATGGATCCAGACCAGCCTGCGCATCCGCGCAGTCTGATCAGGATCCATGCTGTTTGCTTACCAAATTTATTACAAGTAGAGAAAGTGATAGCAAACAGCATGGATCCTGATCAGACTGCGCGGATGCGCAGGCTGGTCTGGATCCATGCTGGTCGCAAACGCACTATGTTGGTTTTGTTGTGACGCGGTCATATATACTTAATGTCCTATTCATCAAAACTATTTTTTCTGCAGCATAACATCATTTGAAAGAACAAAATATAATACACATAATTCAAATTCTGGAAATATGTGTATTCAATATCAGCTGTTTTGCTTAGAACTGTGCAGTTTTTGATTTTGGTCAAAATGATTAATTGGTTGATTTTGAATGATTAATTATCAACAAAATGTTTCATTTTTTTGTTAAGAATGTGATATTATAATCTTATTACATGCCCACTCAATATTTTTTATAATTCTGATGAAACATTTCTCAGAAACACAGAAATAAATATAAAAAATAACGAGCAATTATCATATTATTGCAAGCAATACATTTAGACTCCTCTACTGTTTAGCACCCCAGCAACATTTGAAGGGTCAATGCCTATGTGCTCATTTGTCAAAATTTCTCTATTAATTTAATTAAATTTGTTTGAAAAGTTACAAGTTCTTTAATTATAATCAAAGATATGGTTTTTTGGGATGGCCAGGCAGACAGACAAATAGACTTAAGGCAAATTTTTGATATCCCTGGTTGTAACCAGAATAAAAAAAACAAAATTCTTACACCAAAGAGGAGATAACTGAGCTGCGCCATGACAAAATCAACAGTGCGTTTGAGACCAGCATGGATCCAGACCAGCCTGCGCATCCGCGCAGTCTGATCAGGATCCATGCTGTTTGCTATCAGTTTCTCTACTTGTTATAGGGTTTGTAAGCGAACAGCATGGATCCTGATCAGACTGCGCGGATGTGCAGGCTGATCTGTGCAGGCTGATCTGGATCCATGTGGGTCGCAAACACATTATGTTGGTTTTGTCGTGACGTGGCTCAACTATAGAAATAAAGATGCTAGACTTATAAACATAGTCATACATGATGCAAGTGGTGACAAACAACAATTATCAAGAAGAAAGTAGAAACCATTCATAGAATCAAAGAAAAGTGAAAAATATAACAATTTTCAAATATATAATATTAAAGTTTAATTCTTGTAACATAGTTCTCTGCGCCAAAATACAACATGACATTGCAATGGAAAATACAATATACCATTAATAGTAACAAAGAAGAAAATTAAAAAAAACAAAAAAAAACAATTTTTAAATAAGTTCAAAATGAAAATTTAAGGATGATAATTCTGACATCATAAAGGTACTAGAATAATGGACCTAATGCCACATATGAAGTGGGTGATGATAAGAAACATACGAGTCACGTCATGACAAAACCAACATAGTGGGTTTGCAACCAGCAATGGATCCAGACCAGCCTGTGCATCCGCGCAGTCTGATCAGGATCCATGCTGTTCGCTATCAGTTTCACTACTTATAATAGGGTTTGTAAGCGAACAGCATGGATACAGATCAGACTGCCCGGAACCGCAGGCTGGTCTGGATCCATGCTGGTCGCAAACCCATTATGTTGGTTTTGTCGTGGCGTGGCTCATATATTTAAAGTTTAAAGTAGATATGCTTCGAAATAAAGAAGTTGATAAAGAACGTTTTTGGGGTTTTTTCTCATGAAAATCGTAAGTTCAAGGGGGATAAATCAAATAAATTTGGTGCTAGAGTTGTGAACCTTGACATGCAAAATCTCCGTAAGGTCATGATGCCATTTTTTCATATTTTAAGTGTCATATAAATGTTTTCAGTACTTTTGAGTAATACCAAATTTTGTTATATTTGCCATATTTTAAGTCTATTTGTTGCCATAGCAGCCAAATTTTTCAACATAGGAAGAAAAGAAGATGTTCATAATTTCCAGACTGCCATTTACCCATATTTCAAGCTTCATTAAAGTATTTTCAGTACTTTTTGCATCACCCAGGGATCCAGTTTGGTGGACGGACGGACATACAGAAGGTAAACCTAGTCACCTCTGGTTTAACAGATAAGGGACTAACATTAATATTTATGTATCAAATAAACTTAAAATTACAAATACGAAATTATAGAAATGATAAATTTTTAAAAATGTGTTAAAAACACCTGACATTTCAAACTTTTTACACTCAGCCCATTTTCTCAACCAATCAAAATGTTTCATTTTTTGTATTGGCCCCATTTTCCTTATGTTACTGCTGCCCTGTGGTAGAACATAATTTGGCAGAGGATGATCTAATATCAAGAACCTAATAAAATAATGAATGTTTAATTAATCTTTTATAAAAACTGCCCAAGTTGATGGTCTTTACCAGTCATAAACAATGTCTTAATTGGTTCTATTATATCTTTTTTGCAATTTTTGCAACTAATCAAGCAACATGCTCCTCTACCCGTCCCCCACACGGCACTGCCCAGCACACAACTCTGTATCAATCACTTGCCATAGATATACTCAAAGCATTACACAAATATTAACATATCATATGGAAAAATCTGATATCCTTGGCAGAATTCAAAAACAGTGTTGAGGGGAAAATGTTTTTTTTTTTTTTTTATTGGCCATCAAAAGCCCTTTTCTTCCATTTAAAGTGATAGTAATTGTCTTAAGAAGTTACCATGGTTTGACCTTGGCTAATGTACGAGAGGAACATCTACAGTAAGGCAACAACTGTTCCCTTTGTGGCCTAGTGATCAACAAGATACAGATTTGAGCCGTGTCATGACAAAACCAACATAGTGTGTTTGCGACCAGCATGGATCCAGACCAGCCTGCGCATCCGGGCAGTCTGATCAGGATCCATGCTGTTCGCTTTCCAACTCTATTACAAGTAAAGAAACTGATAGTGAACAGCATGGATCCTGATCAGACTGCGCGGATGCGCAGGCTGGTCAGGATCCATGTTGGTCGCAAACCCATTATGTTGGTTTTGTCGTGACACGGCTCATTTATGGTTAAGTTTTTAGAATTTCAAAATGCTATAGGAATTCGGGAATAGGATAGCATATTGCCGTGCATACTTTCAAACTTTTACAGGCTTTACTTTTTGTTTTTGTTTCTTTTCTTTTCATATCATCCAATTGCATTGTCTTGAAGTCAATATCAGTAATCTCAATATAATATAATCTGCTAGTTTAAAAAATATGTGAAATCAAGAGCCATATAGGAAAAGGAACCATCAAAGTTGGCCACTTTTTTAAGTAGCAAGTCTAAATGTTGAAATGATATTATATTCTTAGAGGTCATACACTCGGATAATATGAAATGATATTAAGATAATTGTGAGAAACATTTTTATGAGCCGTTACAGGATAGGAAATATAAGCCGCAGTTTGCGGTCCCACTTCGGAGTTCCTTTAAATAGAATATACATGAAAAAGAAATAATTATAAATATTTTACTTTTAGGCTCTAAAACAGACCCCTGCTTAATATTTTACTTATATCTTTAAAAATGTTTTTTGCAAACCTAAACCCCTGTAAAATACTGAGAATTTCTGTTCTTAAAGGAAGGAATGTCTATCCT